CGTAACTCGGCCTGGGGTTGGATTAACTTAAAACCACTCTTTTTTTAGTTTTTCTTTTTTGCTTTGAATTTGCTTTAGAAGACACAGCAACTCACCGAAGACAATGGGATCCCAGTCATCTAAGGGAGAGGTGGCCGCCGAGGCAAACGCTGCCGCCGCTGATGCTGCAGCTGTCAAAACCAACGGACAGGTAATTGCACTCAACTCACCCGCTATTACTCTCTCCGTATCTTTATTTTACAATAGAGTTGAGTGGAAATGGATAAAAGTTGTATTTATCACACACCAGTTTTCTCAAATTTAGTCGACGCAGAATTGATTAAACTTGAATGTGAGGATAAGTCAGGTGGGGCTTTGAGCATCACCGTCTCCTGCTGATGGGCTGGTCACAGAGACCCCTCATAACTTAAAAAAAAATGAGCCAGAGTGGTGTTGTTATGTAGGATAAGTTCAAAGTGAGTATGTGTTTATCTGTGACTGAGGTCTAACCCAATATCCGCACAACGTGTTTGATAGTGCCAGGCTTAAAGGGGGAGGGGGTCAGCTTGAGCGCACGTAGGCAGTCTACTACTCCTCCCTTTATAAAATACAAGCCTGGGTGTCGTCTGGACGACTGATTTACATACTGGGAATTTCCGAAATTCAGATAGTGAGACGTTGTGGGGTGAGAGAAATCACACATTTAGTCATTAATTTGTTACTGTTATTGGATCATTATGAATGCAAATTACCGCCACACTTAATGAGTGACACAAAATCTGACTTGTTTTAAGAATGAATTAATAATTGAAGTTTTTAAATATCAGCGATTAATTCGGGAGAAAAAAAACATCAATTAAAGTGTTTTCATTCTTACATCGATGAGCTCCAGCCTTGTCTTTGTTGAGCCGATGTCTGTCTGGTACCTTAGGCGGTCTGTGAGGAGCTACCGCCGCCTATCGCCTGATTAGGGTACTGCAAGGCGTCGCCTCTGAGCAGGCGACACAGTGGTTAATTGATGAGCACGACGATGTGCCGAAAAGAAAGGAGAAATCCTCAACATGAATCGGCCCTCTATGTATTGTATGCATGTGAATGGATGTTTCTTCAAAGAAATGTTACTTATCTTGTGACACTTTTGTTTCTTAACCTTTTTCCAGGAGAATGGACATGTGAAAACCAATGGCGATGTCTCTACAAAGCCTGATGGGGATGCTGCCGCCACCAATGGCTCAGCCGAGGCAGCCAAGGAGTCTGAAGCTGGTGCAGGAGGCGACGCTATTGAGCCGGCACCTGCTGCAGATGGAGATGCTGCCAAACCTGAGGGTGAGGCTGCAGCTAAGGAGACCCCCAAGAAGAAGAAGAAGAAGTTCTCCCTGAAGAAGTCCTTCAACTTCAAACTGAATCTGAAGAAGAGCAAGAAAAGTGAGGCTGTCAAAGAGGAAGCGCCTGCCGCCACCCCCTCTGAGGAGAAGCCTGCTGAGAATGGAGATGCCGCTCCCGCAGAGGAGAAGAAGGAGGAGGAGGTGAAAGAGGAGGCTGCCGCTGCAGCCGAGGCCCCGAAGGCAGAGGAGGCTCCAGCTAAAGAGGAGGCCCCCAAGGAGGAGGCCAAGGAGGCAGCTGCTCCGGCCCCTGAGGCCACAAAACCAACAGAGGAGAGCAGCTCGACCCCCGCTCCCTCTGAAAAGAAAGAGTGATTGTACCTTTAGCTCATAATGAACTGGGTGAACTGTTTTTCAAGAGAGAGAGAGAAAATTTAAGAGTATATATATATATTTATATATATATGTGTATATGTATACATATGTATATGGATATATGTATATGTAAATATATACACATGTATGTGAGAGACTCCTTCGACGTGCCACTTTTCGTCATGATAACAAGACGACAGACTAGATTCACTAGATCACTTCCCTGGTTACTGCTCGACATCTGGACCTGGACTGAGTTTGAGGCTGTGGGTTGGTCGCTATGTGGAAAATGGATTTTGGTGGCTAGAATGCGAGCTAATGATACCATGAAGTATAGACGGATGAAGGATGGATGGAGAAGGATGGAGCATCTTTTCCCTGAAAATCTACAAAAGAAGATGCCTCCTTGCTGAAGGAATGAAGCTAGATGAGATACTAGGACACCACCACCACTTGAAATGACTGTTAAATAGTGAAAAAAAAAAAAGAAATCAGAAAATTAAGAGACTTGCCAACTTTTTACATTCCTATATTTTAACCCAAATTTGAAGTATTTTGTGGTGTATTATAGAGAACCATCTTAAAGATTCAGAGAAGCTATGTCTTGTTTGTTTAAAGAAAAAAAAATAGACAATTTTGATTTTTACCTTACTATGAAAAAAGAACACTTAAGCTTGCTATGTTCACTGTTGCGGTTTGATATGAAGCAGAGTTGTTTATCTGTCGTGTGTGAGCCTGAATCTGCTTTGTCTCTGTAAATACATTGGATTGATTTCTGTTCTTTATTTTGCTAATGTTGACAGATGTTCCTGGTTTTATTGTAAAGTTGATAATGGTAAATAAATGTTGGTTACCTGCCGGCGTATGTGTCTTTACGGTTATTTGAATCATGCATCACATTTGTTATTACAAAGTAGTGTACCTTAATGACAGGGTCTGGAGCCTGCCTGTCATATAAAACATTTTATTGCACTCTAGTATCAACTAAAAGCCACCATCAGAAGTTTAATAGCAGCACGATAAGGGATACAGGATTTGAAATTATCCAATTATCATAACAGTTGAAACTGAAGAGACAGTTTAAAGCCTGATGCTCCATTGACTGACATTTCACATTGTTTTGGTGTCTCCATGTTAGACAAATGAAAGTACAAAGAAAAAATCTTAAACTGGAGCAGTTACACTACTGACCTCAAAGCCTGATTTAAAGCTACACTATGTAACTTTTGAAAGATGAAATTACACATTTTGCCTTTTAGAAATCAAAAGTTGAACTCATAAGATATAAAATACACTCTTAGTTTAATGCTCTCTGGTCTGGTATGACCAGTATTTGAAGGTGTACCATGGCTACAAGGGCTGTTATTCAGTAAAAGTGACAGTTTCACTTAGATATACAAGTCATTTTCATAAGTAAAGGCTTTTTTCAAGAGATGGGACATTAGTGAATAATACAACCCCAGGTGGTTACAGTACAGAGTAAGAAAGTGGTACATTACAGCAGGGCGTTATAAGGTTTATTAGCCCTATATTTTTATCACTTGCAAACCAGAGAATCTCAATAGGCCAAACACATCAATAAAGTTTTATTCTTCTCATTCATGTAATTATTAGCCATTATTGGATTGACACTCCTTCCAGTCCAGCTTTAAACAAACACAAAAAACATAATAATTTAACAAAAAACAATGATCCATCATTCACTATAAAAGCAAAAGCCTAGTATTTTAAATCCTATAGGATTAGGTGTGAAATTTATTACACGTGGCTCTCCTCATAATCACATAATCTGTGATTTTCTCTGAAACAGGAAACACCCACATGTTTCTGGGTGATTGGTTTGGAGATAACTGAACACATCAACACTACATTGTTAGCTCCAATGATCCCTGGCCCTCTATTAGACTTGTGGCCCTGAGATCAGCACCATTACGCCGATCCCCCACCCCCCTCCTCCTTCACATGTACAGTATTCCCTCCATTTGAAGGCGAGCATGCTCCTGAACATGGCTAACTGAACACAGCAGTCCTGCTCTGAGGGAACTGACCTAGTTCACATGGTGATATGATGAATTGAGATCTGAGCTACATTTGGACCCAGGCTTCAAACAATTCTGAATTATTTAAACAAATCTAGAGCTCCCTCTTCATATATCCTTTTTCCTCTTGTAGCAGATGCATTTGTTAACCTTTAATTGTATTTTTTTCAAGTAACAGTCTTTAAATTGCAGGCAAAATCATTGCAAGACAAAGTGAATCTGTGTAAATCTTTTATAAAACCTTACACCGTACACGAGGAAGTAGGAGCAGTAAGCTGTAAATTATTCACGACTGCTCCACAATGAGAGTGTTTTGTTTATTCTCTACATCACTGTTTTGTTTGCACTGCATACTATACATGAGATTCTGTGACTGATTACTTCAGAGGTACTGCGTCTCTCATTTAGCAGAAACAGGGTCTGCAGAGTTGTAAGTCAAACAGAGGTGATCTTACACTGTCACCTAGTGGCCATTACATGCAGTGGCACAGAGCTGATCACCTATTGTCTGGTTTTTTAATCTGTTCTACCACTGTCCTAGGCCTGCATCAATATGCATAATGAGTCTAAACGAACACTGCAGTATAAAATAGAACAATATATATTATATATCATATGTTATATTTCATGCATTCTTCAAATTACATTTAGAGTTGTGTTTTCAAAAGTGCAGAAACTGGTAAGAACATGTTATATTATTTGCAGCATTTGAATGCATGGCCTAGTAGTGCCTTCTTAATGTCTACCCAGGGATATCTGATAAAAAACAGCTTTTAATTTAAGGGCCATTCTGTTTTTTCTCTGTTTCTATGTGATACAATTTGTATTTAAGGCATGGAGGGCAATATTGTATTGAATTGAGGTAGGATAAATAACTCACTAATGATCAAATAAAATAAAATAGAATATTAAAAATAATTATAAAATGGCAACTAAATAAAATATTGGTGACATTGGTGTGTCCCCAGTGGAGTATCCTCCTTGAGACCTCCCTGCAAAGAAGAGAGAAGAAGTTGTTCATGCATGTCATTAACTAATTATTGTCGTTAACTGATTCATTAACTGTTGCTGGACATTACAAGTCACCCAAAGCTATTTTACTCACGTCTACATCACTAACTGAAACACAAAACACTTGTGCTCTGTGGGCAATAAGTTACAGTCTAGACACTGTCTGGTTGTAGCTGCAGTCTCGGCGGTCCTCGGTTTGTAAAACCGGCGCCTCCCAGTCGGGCGGTTGAGCATTTGCGATTGGTTGACAAGAACTCAGCGCGAGCTCCCCAGTGCAAGAGAGGAACCGGTGGGCACGAATCAGTGGGGTAATTGGTGTAAAATGGCGCTGTCTCAAGGAACAAAGAAAAAAGTTTGCTATTACTATGACGGTAAATATACATCTTGTGCATCTCGGATTCTCTATCGGATGAAGTGGCCTTGAAGGCGTGTAAATGTTCAGGAAATTTTTACACGTATTCGTTTTTTAAAAAGTGTGCCGTACCACCAAGCTAGCTAGCCGGTGTAGCGAGCTAACGCTAGCTTCCTCGATTGGCTAAGTAGCCTATTTTAGCTACATGCTATGCTTAGCTGGCATTTAGCTTAAAAGTGCACGCAGTATATCAGCCGGTGTTCACCTCACTTTAACGTTATCCAATGACCAGACCGATTTCCTTAATTTATTACAGCATTTTGTTGCCATGTGAGTTGTGCATGTGAGCTAATTTGATCATTCTGGGATCATAGACGACCCATCAAGCTAACCGGCGCTCACATCAGTGTTCCCCCCAACTTGCTATCAACTTCCAAGAAGTGGGGGACCGATGCTCTGGTTGCCAGAGTTTGATTATTTAGCGAAAAGTTTTCGTGCAAATAATCATTTGCGCGTAAGGGCAGTCCTCTTGCATTTTACTTTTCTGTTATGCACAAATATTAAAAAGAAAATGCCATGTGCATATTACATGTAGGCTGGTTTAGCTGCCTCAACGCCTGACTCCTATCTTTTGTGTTGGCAAACATATAGGACAGGTAGAAATTATAAAAAGAGAAATTAAAGCTACAGTCAAGAAAAAAGTACCATTTTCTAGTATTTATTCCTTAATTTTAAATATATCTGCGTTCACAGTGTACTACTCACTATAGGTATAACAGGTGAACAGCTCATTAAAGTCACAATAAAACTTCGGTGGGTTGGACTTAGGCCAAATTGAAAACTAGTTTGCTTTGATTTTTTTTTTATTTTTTAAAGATATGCAACATTTGCAGATAACTAAGGCAGATTTTTGAATGGAGTTTGGCATAACAACATACTAGTGGGTTTTAAGGTTAATTTTGTCATGTAAAATAATCTGTAATCTTTTTTCCTTAAAGGTGATGTGGGAAACTATTACTATGGCCAGGGCCATCCCATGAAACCCCACAGGATCCGCATGACACACAACCTCCTCCTCAATTATGGACTGTACAGGAAAATGGAGATCTATGTGAGTTAGACGACTCAACACAAGCCTCAGACACTTTTAGATGCACACACTTTACGTTTCACTGTTTCTCAAGCACTAACCACACCAAATTGCACTGTATTCTTTAAAGCGAGGGATGTCAAAAACCTGACCCCTTAATTGAGACAAGTATGTTTTGACAAGAGTTTCCAATGTGATGCTTCATATCACATAAACATTAATTCTCCGTCTCTTTAATTGCTTTGTCAAGATGTTACATGACAGGTCAGGTGGTGATTACTGCATATTAGGGCTGTAATGATTCTACAAATCCATGGTTTGGTTCAGACCTTGATTTTTGAATCAGGGTTGGGGGTTCAAGCACACATCTGACGAAACAAAAGGGTGCAGGTCTAAACAGCACTTTCTCAGTGTTTTTCCACTGTGTGGAGTGTGAAAGTAAATGACTGATCATTTCAGCTTAGTGCATTACTTCCCATATTTTCTATGTAGACTTATAGTTTCCTAACCTTGAATAACGAGATATGAAACCTTAGCTTAAGACAAAGTCAGTAATTTTTTCATTAGCTGATGTTAACAGAGAACATGTTTCTAGTGACATTGGGTTGTGTGTGTGCTTTTGGAGACTAAAGTCGCTTTAGCTGCAGGGAAAGGAGCAAAACTTTGGTCACAATGGATTCAATGCAAGATGACAGCAGAAAGCTGTGTTAAAACAGATGTTATAATGTGTTTAATTGGAACTGACTGTTTAAGAAGTTGCTAACATTAGCCAGTAAGTCACATTAACAGAAGCTCGTGCATTGGGAGTTATGTTGCGTCTTTTGTGGAACATAAATTCAGAAGTGTGAATGCCACCCTGAAGGTTTTGACACCTATTGACTGGGATAGTTTGTGACTGCTAGATGTTGTGCTCATATCTTATTGGCTACTGCAAATATAAAAAATGACACAAACACTTCAAGTTATATAGTCTTAGAATTTTTAGTTAACATTGTTCATGGGTAGATGAATTTAGACATAACAATCTAAGACCAACCAAAACATGTAAAGTGTGTTTTTACTGATAAAAACTATTACTGACAAACAGAATTTCCAACCCTCACTTTTTTCCTTATTACCTGTCTGTCTGTTTCCAGAGACCACACAAAGCCAGTGGTGAGGAGATGACAAAATACCACAGTGACGACTACATTAAGTTCCTGAGGTCCATCCGACCAGACAACATGTCTGAGTACAGTAAACAGATGCAGAGATGTGAGTGTTTGCTTTTCTTCCAACAGACGCTGAAGTATTCTCACTGTCCACATGTGTTAAATCTGTCTGTCCTGTTCTTTTCCTCACAGTCAATGTCGGAGAGGACTGTCCAGTGTTTGATGGTCTGTTTGAGTTTTGCCAGCTCTCGACAGGTGGCTCTGTCGGTATGTTATCACAACTACACTTACGATAATCATTCTGACATCTTCAATTTGGATTAGTTACTTGTGTGACTTCACAATGGAGTCTTGGATGGAGTTAATTAAGAATAATTTGAGCCATTTGGAGAATCTGTTCACACAGCACTGTCCAGATGTTTCTCAGAAAAGTTGTAATTGACTTTTTTTTTTTACTCTGTTCATTCCTTCCTGTAGCTGGAGCAGTGAAGCTGAACAAGCAGCAGACAGATATCGCCATCAACTGGGCAGGTGGACTCCACCACGCCAAGAAGTCTGAGGCCTCCGGTTTCTGCTACGTCAATGACATTGTCCTGGCCATCCTCGAGCTGCTCAAGTAAGCTGGGCGTCGCTGTTATGCTATTACTTTTTAAACATAACTGTCCTATTTTCTCCACCGATCTGACAGATTTATTTGTTTATTTGGACCCAAAAGGAATCTGGCATGTACATTTTTGATTATGATTTAGCTGGATTGCATCTATACCTGCCATGGAGCTTTATGTCTCTATGTTCCTTCCATGCCAAACACCAGATTGCTGCCTTTTCTAATTTTCTTTCTTTGTTTATGCCTTCTCAAAGATGGCATAAGGGCCTTGTTTGCTCACTCTCCATCCATCTATATAATCTTTTCAGTCTGTCTGAACTTTTGAACTGTTTGATTTGCATGAGAATTTATTTGGTTTTAGTTAAACATACAGCATTTTCACTTTGCTTTTAAGGTAGCTGAACAGATGTTTGCATAAGTAGATGCATCTGAACTCTTTGTACAGAGGGATTAGATGTTTTTTCACTGAAGATGCAAACCATGCTAACATTTATGTATAATCTTGTAGCTGGTGTATGTTTTATTTTGTCTGTCATAGAACTTGAATCCGTCTTAATGTGTCATTAACTGAATTCTCTGTTCTGTCTAGGTACCACCAGAGGGTGTTATACATAGACATTGACATCCACCATGGTGATGGAGTGGAGGAGGCCTTTTACACCACAGACAGGGTCATGACTGTCTCTTTCCACAAGTATGGGGAGTACTTCCCTGGCACTGGAGACCTGAGAGTTAGTTGTCTGTTTGTTCTGATTTTGCTTCTAAAAACCAAGTTGTCATTACACGTGCACAGGGCAGTAATGCAGTGATGTGTTCAATCTGTGCAGGACATCGGAGCTGGAAAAGGCAAGTACTACGCAGTAAACTACCCACTAAGAGACGGCATTGATGATGAGTCCTATGAAGCCATCTTCAAACCGGTATGTTTGTTTTTTATTATGTAATCACCATAATCACACTCTTTCTCGAAGCAAGAGTTTTAATATGTGTTTGTGTGTGTGTTTAGATCATGGCTAAAGTAATGGAGATGTATCAGCCAAGTGCCGTGGTACTGCAGTGTGGAGCTGATTCTCTTTCTGGAGACAGACTGGGCTGCTTCAATCTCACCATCAAAGGTATAAACACCTCACACTAAAAAAAAAAAACTCTGAAAAACTTTTGTATTGTTGAGAGTGTAACATGAGTGTGTGTTGACTCTTCCAGGCCATGCCAAATGTGTTGAGTACATCAAAAGTTTCAACCTGCCTCTGCTGATGCTGGGCGGCGGTGGCTACACCATTCGTAATGTGGCCCGCTGCTGGACTTACGAAACAGCTGTCGCCTTGGACTGCTCCATCCCCAACGAGCTGCCCTACAATGATTACTTTGAGTACTTTGGGCCTGACTTCAAGCTGCACATCAGCCCGTCCAACATGACCAACCAGAACACCAACGAGTACCTGGAGAAGATCAAGCAGCGTCTGTTTGAAAACCTCCGCATGCTGCCTCATGCCCCTGGTGTCCAGATGCAGGCTATCCCCGAGGATGCCCCCCACCCAGACAGCGGGGACGAGGATGAGGAGGACCCCGACAAGCGCGTCTCTAGTAAGAGACAAATATAGGCTCAGAATTCTCTTAACATTGGGTCACAGAAGGCATGGGAGTTGACTGTGGTCAAGTTCTACTCTGTGAACTGTGCGTGTTGTGTTCTGTGTTTTCAGTCCGGGCCCACGACAAGAGGATAGCCTGTGAGGAGGAGTTCTCTGACTCTGAGGACGAGGCCGAGGGGCAGGGAGGAGGCCGCAGGAACGCAGCCAACCACAAGAAGGCAAAACGAGTGAAGAAGGAGGAAGAGAAGGAAGGAGAGGAAAAGAAAGGTAAGACTGATTCAAAAGACAACCTTGTATTTGTAGATGAACTAACAAGTATTATTATTATTATTATAATTATTATTATTTTTAATATTGTTTTGATTTGTCCTGTTGCTTTGATCCCTAGAAGTGAAAGAGGAGGAGAAGGAGGAAGAGAAGATGGACACGTCAGGGTAAGAGAAATGCATATTCATTGTATCTTATAAATGAATATTTTTATGTGGAAACATGCAATTTGTGACACCAGACCTCCGGCTTGGAGCCATTTATTTATTATATTCTCTGCATAAACTATACATGCAGAGGATTTGGAAACGGCAACTGTGCTACCTTTGGTAGATTTTTGTTTGATGAGTATGATCTAGTGACATAAGGTCTAGCACTATAAATGTCACAATCAACAGAAAGCTATCCTTCAAAGCTGTATAACAATTAGTGCACTTACTTGAGGTGCAAAACTGGTGGATAGTGCTGGACAGCATGGACAAAAATGTCGTCGTAAAATTTTCATATCAGCCATTATCAGTTATTACCATAAGTGTCAAATCATTATTATAGTTTAGTATACTTTATAGTATTGTTAAACGACTGATTTTTGCTCCCAAAAGTTGAAGAAACCAGATTGGGATTTGTGGTTTGAAACATTTGTTTTATGTTTACAACATTCAAAACAATTGGTGATAAAATGTAATCTAATTAATTTAAAACCTAATTTACGAAAAGCATACCTCTTTTCCTGCAGCGTGACTGGCAGTTTATTCATTTTTGTGCATGCTGGATTTTGACTTTTTTATGTCGTTTTATATACCATAGTATATTATGACTTTTTTGTGAATTGCTGTTTTTATACCTTGCTATACTATGTCGTTTTTTATGCCTTACTATAATATGAAGTTTTTATACCTTACTATACTATGACTTTTTTATGCCTTATTATTCTATGAAGTTTTTTAATGCCTTACTATACTATGACTTTTTTATGCCTTAATATACTATGTCGTTTTTTATGCCTTACTATACTATGACTTTTTTATGCCTTATTTTACTATGACATTTTTTTATGCCTTACTATACTATGACTTTTTTATGCCTTACTATACTATGACCTTTTTTATGCCTTAATACACTGACTTTTTTATGCCTTACTATACTATGTTTTTATGAAGTTTTCATGCCCTACTATACTATGACTTTTTTATGCCTTACTATACTATGACATTTTTATGCCTTACTATACTAAGTTGTCGCTATGACGTTTTTATACCTTACTACTCTGACTTTTTTGTGACTGACTATGTTTTTAATGCCTTACTATACTATGACGTTTTTGTGACTTATTATATGACGGTTTTATGCCTTACTATACTATGACGTTTTTGTGACTTTTTTTGTGCCTTATTATACTACGACATTTTTTATGCCTTACTATACTATGACTTTTTAATGCCTTATTATTCTGACGTTTTTTAATGCCTTACTATACTATGACTTTTTTTATGCCTTAATACACTGACTTTTTTATGCCTTACTATACTATGTTTTTATGAAGTTTTCATGCCCTACTATACTATGACTTTTTTATGCCTTACTATACTAAGTTGTCGCTATGACGTTTTTATACCTTACTACTCTGACTTTTTTGTGACTGACTATAATATGTTTTTAATGCCTTACTATTCTATGACGTTTTTATGCCTTACTATACTATGACATTTTTGTGACTTATTATATGACGGTTTTATGCCTTACTATACTATGACGTTTTTGTGACTTTTTTTGTGCCTTATTATACTACGACGTTTTTTATGCCTTACTATACTATGTTTTTATGAAGTTTTCATGCCCTATTATACTATGATGTTTTTATACCTTACTATACTATGACTTTTTTATGCCTTATTATGCTATGACGTTTTTTTATGCCTTACTATACTATGACGGTTTTATGCCTTACTATACTATGACGTTTTTGTTACTTTTTTTATGCCTTATTATGCTATGACGTTTTTTATGCCTTACTATACTATGACTTTTTTTGACATTTGTATGCCTTACTTTACTATTATGTTTTTTTTGTGACTTACAATATGTTTTTAATACCTGACTATACTATGATATTTTTATGACGTTTTTATGCCTTACTATTCTATGACGTTTTTGGGACTTACTATAATAGTTTTTTATGCCTTACTATACTATGACGTTTTTATGCCTTACTACTAGATGACTTTTTTGTGACTTACTATAACATGTTTTTTATGCCTTACTATACTATGTTTTTATGAAGTTTTCATGCCCTACTATACTATGACATTTTTATGCCTTACTATACTAAGTTGTTGCTATGACGTTTTTATACCTTACTACTCTGACTTTTTTGTGACTGACTATAATGTTTTTAATGCCTTACTATACAATGACGTTTTTTGTGACTTTTTTTGTGCCTTATTATACTACGACATTTTTTATGCCTTACTATACTATGTTTTTATGAAGTTTTCATGCCCTATTATAGTATGATGTTTTTATTCCTTACTATACTATGACATTTTTATGCCTTACTATACTAAGTTGTTGCTGACGTTTTTATACCTTACTACTCTGACTTTTTTGTGACTGACTATAATATGTTTTTAATGCTTACTATACTATGACGTTTTTGTGACATTTGTGTCTTATTATACTATGACGTTTTTTATGCCTTACTATACTATGACGTTTTTGTGACTTACTTTAATGACTTTTTATGCCTTATTATGCTATGACTTTTTGTGACTTACTATACAATAATGTTTTTTATGCCTTACTATATTATGACGTTTTTTATGCCTTACTGTAATATTTCCTTTTCATTACTTAGTATACTACAAGGTCTTTTATGACTTACTTTTGGGCTCCCTTTTCCTCAGAGATTGAAGGTGGCATCTTCCTGCGGTTAATTCTCACCACAAAAATTTGTTTTTTGGGTGGAATCAAAGTGTCAGGCTGCTTGAATAGAAACCTTGCTTATCAAAAGACATCGTTTTTCTTACACTCCTGAGGCCCATTGCAGGACATTTCTTCCGAGCGGTGGGGACAAAACATTTATAATAGACCTTAGCTTCTCATCTTATTAGAAGCTCCAATTGTATAAATGGAGAACAGTGATAAAATGGTTACCACTCAACAACTGAAATGATATTTGAACTTTAGGAAAGATCAAAGTATCTGTGTGGTTTCTTTAAAACTATGCTGGTCACAGCTGTTGCCGTAAAAGGAACTTACCTTGCTGACTGTGCTTTAAATTCTTGTCCACTTATGTTTCAGACCAAAAGAAGAGGTGAAGACAACTTGAAGTTAAGGACAAGGAGAAAGTCATGGTTGTACTGTTGTTCTCAAGCCCCACTGATTCCTATACTCTCCTCCTATGACGATAGGAGCTTCTTGTATTCCTGTTTTATTATGTATTAAGGGCAAACCTGGTTTACATTGTATTATTTGCATTTGTTTCTGACCTCAGTGAAGCACCAGTTGTGTGGGTGTTGACCACAAAGTTTACAGTCTCGTCAGAGTTCAATGATAAACAATGAATTTCTGATGTGTTTCCCCTTATGTTGTGTGCCCTGTGTAAACTACCCCACCCACCTGGAGCTCCATATAGTCCAAAACAAATGCCATGAATCCTTTCCAGCTGTTGTGTGAACCAGGTGTGCTTTAATGTGAAGAAAACCACCCAGAGCGTTACTGCTCCTATTATGTCAATTCAGATTTAACTTGTTGTGGGGCTCCTGCTAAAATACCTGCAGAGATGTAGATGATGTTAAAGTCTAGTGCTTACATGCAAAGAGGCTTTTGTTAGTTTTGAAACATCTATTTATGATACTGTTAGAATAACCAGCATTTCACAAACTGATGTTTAGCTTGCTGTGTTAATTTACCAGTGAATGCATGTTTAGAATGATCTTGCCTTTAGCATGTACATATTACTCTCCCTTTGCCCAGACAGTCCCCTTTTCAGACAGTCCCTAGTCTCTGCTCAGTAAGTTATTTTAAATCATGAATACACGGTCTGTCCCTTTTAGCCCATTTTCTTATGAATATCTGGTCAGTGTTTTTCCTTTTTCTTCCTGAATTGTTTGTATGTTCATGTGTGAATGGGTGTGAACCTCTTCAGAGGGTTATGTTGGGAAGCGAATGACCTGTTTTAGATATTTTGTATCATTATACATAAAGGTGGAGTGAGCTGAGAAAATGGCCCTCTACATGTGGTTGTTTGGAGTTCTATCCTTGTGAAATGTGCATTATCATAACTTTGTTATAAAAAAATAAAGAAAACTGATCTACATTTGTGTTCTGATTTCATCATTTACAATGATCTAACCAGAAAACATTGAAATCCTTGTGCAGTTAATTCAGGTTGTCATGTTATGGTTTGATACCTTTCAGCAGATAATTCAGCCTGGTTTTGGGTAGCATGAACAAAATATCAATGTTTACCTCCACCTCATACTATGGTCTCAAAACAGAAATCCTACCACAGCTGTTTTTTTTGTAAACATGTTATTTCTTATGGTACCAATATACATTGACAGTTGTTGAATGACTTGGAGTTACACAGCTCACACAGACATGACTTCAATAAGTAATTTAATGAGTTTTCATGGTGGAATGGCTTTTAACAGTTATTAATTCAAATTCCACTTAGTTGCAGAATCAGATTAAATAAACTTCAGGAATCAGGGAGTGTGGCTTAAAGTCCAGTCACATTAGCTTTGCAGATCCAGGGTACAAAAATCGGAACTCTTATGCTTCTGATCCCACCGAGACAGTTTCCAAGCAATGCTACAAAAATGATTTTAAAAAAACACCACACTCTTGTCACTGAGATGCAGTCACAAAACTCTTGTGACCACTTCTTTATTTGAAGTAAGCTGACTGTGACTCTAGTCCAATACTCCCTCTTCCTGACTGGGCTGAATGCGATGGTAGTTGAAGCTGTGGGGTTCAGGAGCCTGACTGTTTATGCCTCCAGCTCAAAGTCAAAGTACTGTGGGTCAAAGTAATGAATCCTTACATATCCATCTTCTCCTCCACTGCTGTAACTGTAGACAATAACAACAACAGGAGAAACACATCAGCACAGTGACAACACATAAAGCAGTTTGGACTGGACTTCTTTATGTTTTAGAGCAGCGTATTTTTAAAGGCACATTCGTCTCTTACCTCTTGCCATCAGGGTGGAATGCCACACAATTGATGGGGCCGAAATGACCTTTCACCCTTCCAAACTCCTCTTCATAGGCAGCATGGAAGAACCTGAGGATAGAAAACAAATGTGGGTGGGTTTTTAAGCCTTACTACATACTAAGATTTTTTTCATGCCTTACTATACTATAACGTTTTTTGGCATTGTTATGCCTTACTATACTAAGATTTTTTATGCCTTGCTGTACTATGACGTTTGACTTTTTTGGCCTGACTATACTGTGTTTTTCATGCCTTACTATACTATGACATTTTTTACACCTTAATATACTATGACGTTTTTTATGCCTTAGTATACTATGACATCTTTTCATGTTTTTATGCCTTAGTATACTATGGCGTTTTTATGCCTTACTATACTAAGATTTTTTATGCCTTGCTGTACTATGACGTTTGACGTTTTTTTGCCTGACTATACTATGACATTTTTCATGCCTTACTATACTATGACATCTTTTCATGTTTTTATGCCTTAGTATATTATGACATTTTGATGCCTTACTATACTAAGATTTTTTCATGCCTTACTATACTATGATGCTTTGACATTTTTTTGACATTCTTATGCCTTAGTATACTATGAAGTTTTTTCACGTTTTATGCCTTACTATACTATGTTTTTCATGCCTTGCTATACTATGATGTTTTTATGACTTTTTATATGCCTTACTATACTATGATGTTTTTATGACTTTTTTTATGCCTTACTATACTATGATGTTTTTATGACTTTTTATATGCCTTACTATACTATGACATCTTTTCACGTTTTTATGCCTTACTATGTGATGTTTTCATGCCTTGCTATATTATGACGTTTTTATGCCTTACTATACTATGTTTTTCATGCCTTACTATACTATGATGCGTTTTTGATGTTTTATGACATTCTTATGCCTTAGTATACTATGAAGTTTTTTCACGTTTTTATGCCTTACTATACTATGTTTTTCATGCCTTGCTATACTATGATGTTTTTATGACTTTTTTTATGCCTTACTATACTATGATGTTTTTATGATTTTTTTTATGCCTTACTATACTATGATGTTTTTATGACTTTTTGTATGCCTTACTATACTACGATGTTTTTATGACTTTTTATATGCCTTACTATACTATGATGCTTTTATGACGTTTTATGACATTCTTATGCCTTAGTATACTATGAAGTTTTTTCACGTTTTTATGCCTTACTATACTATGTTTTTCATGCCTTGCTATACTATGATGTTTTTATGACTTTTTTTATGCCTTACTATACTATGATGTTTTTATGACTTTTTATATGCCTTACTATACTATGATGCTTTTATGACGTTTTATGACATTCTTATGCCTTAGTATACTATGAAGTTTTTTCACGTTTTTATGCCTTACTATACTATGTTTTTCATGCCTTGCTATACTATGATGTTTTTATGACTTTTTTTATGCCTTACTATACTATGATGTTTTTATGACTTTTTATATGCCTTACTATACTATGATGCTTTTATGACGTTTTATGACATTCTTATGCCTTAGTATACTATGAAGTTTTTTCACGTTTTTATGCCTTACTATACTATGTTTTTCATGCCTTGCTATACTATGATGTTTTTATGACTTTTTTTATGCCTTACTATACTATGATGTTTTTATGACTTTTTATATGCCTTACTATACTATGATGTTTTTATGACTTTTTATATGCCTTACTATACTATGATGTTTTTATGACTTTTTATATGCCTTACTATACTATGATGTTTTTATGACTTTTTATATGCCTTACTATACTATGATGTTTTTATGACTTTTTATATGCCTTACTATACTATGATGTTTTTATGACTTTTTATATGCCTTACTATACTATGATGTTTTTATGACTTTTTATATGCCTTACTATACTATGATGTTTTTATGACTTTTTATATGCCTTACTATACTATGATGTTTTTATGACTTTTTATATGCCTTACTATACTATGATGTTTTTATGACTTTTTATATGCCTTACTATACTATGATGTTTTTATGACTTTTTATATGCCTTACTATACTATGATGTTTTTATGACTTTTTATATGCCTTACTATACTATGATGTTTTTATGACTTTTTATATGCCTTACTATACTATGATGTTTTTATGACTTTTTATATGCCTTACTATACTATGATGTTTTTATGACTTTTTATATGCCTTACTATACTATGATGTTTTTATGACTTTTTATATGCCTTACTATACTATGATGCTTTTATGACTTTTTATATGCCTTACTATACTATGATGTTTTTATGACTTTTTATATGCCTTACTATACTATGATGCTTTTATGACTTTTTATATGCCTTACTATACTATGATGTTTTTATGACTTTTTATATGCCTTACTATACTATGATGTTTTTATGACTTTTTATATGCCTTACTATACTATGATGTTTTTATGACTTTTTATATGCCTTACTATACTATGATGCTTTTATGACTTTTTATATGCCTTACTATACTATGATGTTTTTATGACGTTTTATATGCCTTACTATACTATGATGTTTTTATGACTTTTTATATGCCTTACTATACTATGATGTTTTTATGACTTTTTATATGCCTTACTATACTATGATGTTTTTATGACTTTTTATATGCCTTACTATACTATGATGTTTTTATGACTTTTTATATGCCTTACTATACTATGATGTTTTTATGACTTTTTATATGCCTTACTATACTATGATGTTTTTATGACTTTTTATATGCCTTACTATACTATGATGTTTTTATGACTTTTTATATGCCTTACTATACTATGATGTTTTTATGACTTTTTATATGCCTTACTATACTATGATGTTTTTATGACTTTTTATATGCCTTACTATACTATGATGTTTTTATGACTTTTTATATGCCTTACTATACTATGATGTTTTTATGACTTTTTATATGCCTTACTATACTATGATGTTTTTATGACTTTTTATATGCCTTACTATACTATGATGCTTTTATGACTTTTTATATGCCTTACTATACTATGATGTTTTTATGACTTTTTATATGCCTTACTATACTATGATGTTTTTATGACTTTTTATATGCCTTACTATACTATGATGTTTTTATGACTTTTTATATGCCTTACTATACTATGATGTTTTTATGACTTTTTATATGCCTTACTATACTATGATGCTTTTATGACTTTTTATATGCCTTACTATACTATGATGTTTTTATGACTTTTTATATGCCTTACTATACTATGATGCTTTTATGACGTTTTATGACATTCTTATGCCTTAGTATACTATGAAGTTTTTTCACGTTTTTATGCCTTACTATACTATGTTTTTCATGCCTTGCTATACTATGATGTTTTTATGACTTTTTTTATGCCTTACTATACTATGATGTTTTTATGACTTTTTATATGCCTTACTATACTATGACATCTTTTCACGTTTTTATGCCTTACTATGTGATGTTTTCATGCCTTGGTATATTATGACGTTTTTATGCCTTACTATACTATGACGTTTTTATGCCTTACTATACTATGTTTTTCATGCCTTACTATACTATGATGCTTTTATGACGTTTTATGATATTCTTATGCCTTAGTATACTATGAAGTTTCACGTTTTTATGCCTTACTATACTATGTTTTTCATGCCTTGCTATACTATGATGTTTTTATGACTTTTTTTATGCCTTACTATACTATGATGTTTTTATGACTTTTTATATGCCTTACTATACTATGACATCTTTTCACGTTTTTATGCCTTACTATGTGATGTTTTCATGCCTTGGTATATTATGACGACGTTTTTATGCCCTACTATCTTTTCACGTTTTTATGCCTTACTATGTGATGTTTTTATGCCTTGGTATATTATGACGTTTTTATGCCCTACTATACTATGACGTTTTTATGCCTTACTATACTAAGATTTTTTCATGCCTTACTATACTATGATTCTTTGACATTTTTTTGACATTCTTATGCCTTAGTATACTATGACGTTTTTTAACGTTTTTCGTGGCTTTCGATACTATGATGTTATTATGACCTTTTTTTTTTAAACTCACTGTACAGTGACATTTTTTTATGCCTTACTATACTATGACATTTTTTGACATTTGTACGCCTTATTCTATTATGACCTTTTTTGAGTTTTTCTGTGCCTTACTATAGTATGATTTTTTCATGCCTTACTATACTATGTTTTTCACACCTTACTATATTATGATGTTTTTGATGTTTTTTATGCCTTACTATACCTATGACATTTTTTTGACTTACTATACTATGTCGTTTTATGCCTTACTGACGTTTTATGCATTACTATACTATGACGTTTTTGTGACTTACTTTACTAAGACAGGCTTATATGCCTTACAATGACGTTTAGGTTTAGATTACAGTAGGGAGGAGGTTATCGTTCTTGACCTCTAATCCACCTTCCCCACATTTGACCTCACCTGGCCTCAAACTTGCCGATCCTGGTGGAGGTAGTGGTGACCTCCATGGCTTCCTGTCCACCTCCCATCACCACCTGAATCACACACACCATACACAAGTTTCAAAAGTCAGTTATGAGATACAGCTTTTTTGTTGCAAGATTCAATGAAGAAAACACCAAATGAAGTAAATGTATGTCATAGTTGGATACATATTGTACTGACAGAGTTTTATCTTACATGCTCCATAATGGGGGAGATGGCAGCAGAGTTGACAGGTCTCTCTGTCTTAAAAGTCTTGATGTGATCCAGAGAAGTGGAGTCAAACAGCTGAGAGGAAACACAGAAGACGACCAATACTGAGTCACAGTATAGAGTGGGCAAGTCAAGGTGAAAATCAGATTCAGAATAAATGGATTATGGATTTAACCAGGGAATGGTGACTCTCTAACTGAGCTAATTTCAGTCATAATAATGTTTGATAAATTAAATCCTTCACATAGACTACCATCTACCCTTCAGGGAACCATGAATAATCAACTCTACAAGCTGCAATACCAGACAGAGTCAGAGGTTGTGTGAGCATTCATCTTATAAATTCAGTTGCCATTCTATCACCAGTAGTTGTAAACAATATAATTACCCATAAATGTCTAGTCTAACAAAGACAGACAAAATGATTTAAGTGTTGAAGCTGCTACACAAAGAAGAAGAAAAAGAATAAAAAAACATGATACAGGACAACTTTTACTTTTCAAGTATAACCCAAATATTCCAAACAGTGTGTTTATGGCTGTGCCCACAGACCTTGAGAGTAGATAGGGGTCTTACCTTGGCAGTGTTGTCCTTTGACGCACTGATGAACATCGTGAGATCGACTGATGTCTGGATGTCATTGATCTGCTTGGTGTGCTCTTTGGCCTTCTTCAGGATCTCTCCAGACTGTCCACAAATAAGACAAACATCAGTAAATTCACGTAGAAACTTCAAAATAGTTCTCTCAAACCTCCAGGATACATTTGCCCATTTATACGCTTCATATCCTTAATTACTGACATTTATTTAAACATATTTGCTGGCAAAGTACGTAGGTATTTCTAGGTAATTTATGGTTTTTCATAATCAATATCAGATTTTTTTTTGCAGTCAGTGACATGTGCAGTTTAGTACATTCCTATAAGTTCCCAGTACCTTAGCACTGAACTGGTTGAATTCGCCGTTCTCATGGCCGGCAATAACAAACTCTCCCAAAGGTCCCCACACAGCACTGGTGATTTTGTGGTCACTGCAGGGTATCGACAGATAGGGCTGGTTGTCTTCTGCAGAGACAGAAAGACAGATTCACTTGTTATAGCACTAAGAGGAGCATATTCCTGCTGATCACTATGTTCAACAGTGTAACTGTCAAAAGGTAAATACATAAGGGAGTATTCATACAGTGACTTGTGACCTCATTGCTTTGTTAAATACTGTTTAAAACTACATGACATGACATTTTTTTTTTAAACAGAATGTTTTTCAGTCATCATACATGAATTTCCATCAAGAAATATCCAACTCTCTCCTTACATTCTAAAACAGCCACATGTGAGCTAACATTTAATAGCAACTAATAACAAAAAGAGGAATATGTGAAATCATTACTTCATAGTATGCGATGTAGTTAGTTTAAGAAGGGTGTAACAGATATTTGTACAATCCATGTTTAACAAACACATTAACCCAAGGTAAATGTTGAGAAAAGGTTGATGTGTCTGGTCTAGTAACTATCTTTAAGGTAAAAAAAAGAAAAGCTCCTGCTGAGTGAAGCATCAGTTTGTTTGCAGTGTGTGGTATGTACCAATCTGCTGTGGATCCCTCAGGTCAAAGAAGTTCAGGTAGCACTGATAACCCATCTGCTTGTCTGTGGAGAACATGATGATGTTGCCGCTGAAGTCGAAGCCGCACGTTCTAACAGCAGAGTTGGTGTGGAGCAGGGCCAGCTGTTTACCTGTGCAGCACAGAGGCACAGAGTTTTTCAGGTGTAGGATCTCAAACTACTGCTGGAACTGGACACTTTACACTTTCTGACATGGAGAAGTCTAACTGACAGATTGTGAAACACAGAACACACATGCTTCAATCTCAGTCTGCAACTTGTTTTCACCTACCGGTCTCACAGTCCCATAGTCGACAGCTGTTGTCTGCTGATCCTGTCAATACATTTTTAGTGTCCCCTGAGAGAGGACGTTAAGGAACCCAACATGTACAACATCAGCTAGCATAGCTACAGACACTATCACTGGAATATGAGATCATACATATGTTTGTGATAAAAACAACACATAGAAGTGCACTTCATGAAAAGGATACAGTCACAGTCAACACACCACACAGCTCCTGTGTGTCCATTGTAGGTGCCGAGCCTCTCACCATTGACAGAGTACCACACGTTGGTTACCTATGGTGGGGAACATTGCAGCAGATATAACAAATGAGTTACTAAACAAACTTGCATGGTGAACAATGTGATAATAACAGGAGTCAGTGCATATCTTAATAGCTATCAACTCACCGTGTCTTTAGCTACAGAGAACAGCAGGTCTCCTTCTCTGTTGTACTTGATTTGAGTGATGGACCTCTCATGGCCCTGGAGCAGAATGGGTTTCTGTGGGGAGGAATAGACATCAACACTTGGACAGTCTTACCGATTTATAAAAACACCAGCAGCTGTCAACTAGATGTTGGGTCAGTTATAAGTCTTCCACTGAACAGGCGTCCAAAAGTTAACGTGTTTTTAACAAGTAAACATGTTGGCTCTGTGCTAACAAACTAGCAAGTAATGTTATATTTACTTGTACATTACTATATAAGGTACATCTGTCCAGGTCTACCAGCTGATACAGGCCGGTGAATCATCGTGCATCACCTACATCACATCGCTAACACTAGCTAGCTAAAATTAATGTAAACGCTGGCTCATTTGGAAGCTAAGCTAACGGTTAGCCAAGGCAGATATGCTAGCTAAACCGGAGCTAACAGTCTCAGAAAGACAATGAGCATCATTCGGGTCAAAATATAAGTCGTAGGAAATTCTTTAACAAGGAATACACTAACCATTTTTGTCAACTATGTGTTGCCACTCTGTCCAGTATGTTCACTACGTCTCCCGTAAAGAGAGAAAAGATGAACACTCGTGCTTCAAGCGCCAGAGCCGCGGCGGAAAAGGAAAGTGACGTAATTCCTGTGTCAAACAGCAAGATGGCGTCAGTGCGCCCCCTAGCTATAATACCGCACTGTAGCACTATAATACGTTACGGTGTTTTATGGGTTTTCTCCCTGGTTTAAGATTTTTAAGGGGTAAAATTTTTTCCCAAAATATAACAAATAAAAATTAAATGATCATATAATATGAACATATGAATTTTATAATATGAACAACATATATTTTTGATAAATAATATAATAGAATGGGGTGTCCAAAGGTGTGTTTTGCTTGAGAAGTGTTGTAACTAAAACAAGGTGCAAGGTTTCACTGTTTTTAGTCTAGTCTGGTGCTGCATCAACACCTTGCCATGTAGAGGAATACGGCATTGAGAACTTTACTTTTGAAAGCAACAAGAACATGGATTGAAGGAGTGTAATTATACAGCTCAGTGCAAGATGTTGCTAAAATTCAACTTTCAAGGCAGACTCTGGTGTAATGTGAGCAGATCTGAGGAATCCCTGACACATATCATAAGCTCAATTTGAAGAAACAGTGGCTGCTCATGCAATTGCAGACATTGATACATGTATTCTTTTTTAAATGAGCCAACAAATCAAATATACACTGTTACATCTTTTATTTAACAAGAAACAAAATATACACAGCCAGATAAAAGTACTGCAAAAGACAAAAAAGGAAACATCTTTGGTTCCTTCTCATGGTCAATGAACTTCGATATTTGACACGGGACTGGAGATATAATGAATGTCCTGTGGGACAATGGAAGAAATTAGGTTTGCCATTGATATTCAAGTTGAAAATGACTGATTTGATCAGTTGTCCTTGTTATTGATGCTACATATTGACTAATACATAAGAATGTCTGAAGAGAAATGGACACATTTTGGAGTAAAACTACAATTCAGAATTCCAATAACATTTTCTCTAATTTTTCCTCCTTATTCCCACTTGGCACAGTCACCTTTTAAAGCATCTGGGAGATGCACAATATTTCACTCGATGTCAAACAACTGAAAGTAGCTCAACAAACAGGGTTCAAACTTAAGCAAAAAAGTTCTGCTGTGAGATATGTTGTCTGTTTATACAGTACATCCATGCAGGACAGTGGATATAATGAATATACATTCTCAGCTAAGTGCTTGTCAGTTCAGACTGCCACAGAATAAAACCAAGAGGCAAACATTGCATAGAGGTCCTTGAACATTCTCTTGATAAAACCTGATTACAAACTACTGCAATTACCAGGGCTGGAAGGACACAATCTTCGCCACGTAACCCCACCCCACCCCACCCAACCCACACACACAGCATCCACACCGAAACATAAAGATGGGAATAAAGTGGTCGTCATTACATGGTTATAGGCAGACTGAAAAACATGTAAAACAAGAAAAGGGCAACTGAACCCAGACAGGTTAGGAATGAAAAGTTTGTCATATAAGTACCACCTTTATAAACAGTCTAAATCAATAAAAACTAAACTGATTTAGTTTTACAATGGTGCTCTGTAAAATAGATACATTTCAATATCAGAGATTATGTTTAAAACAATAAATACAGACCCAAAAAAAAATCAAACACTGCACATGGAGAAGTGTGACACAAACAGGAAAACAACTTTTCCCTAAAGTGGTCTATGAGCAAAAACTGAAAACACAGACGCTGTAAAGACATATTTTGTTTGACCTCTCCGTCAAGACCTCACCTGAAAGAAAAACATGACGTTTCTAAAAGTGGCCTTTAGAGTACTGCAAGCTATGAATTAAACCCCTTCCCAAACAAATTGTTGCTCACGATGCAAATGAGACAGACTGAGTGGATGCACACACACAAACACACAAATCATTCAACCTCTGATGACTCCTTTTGCCATACACCTGTTAGGCTTGTGTCATCCCAAGCAGCAATGTTATTTATCTTGTCAAGCAATTCTATGGTTGATGCAAGTTAGAAAGGGAATGTGTAGTCAAACAGCACAACACAGAATCAGTCAGTACATTTACATACACACTAATAATCTATCATGTAAACAGTGTTGTGTTAGGGAAAGTATAACAGAGCTGGATAACTTATAGATCTTCTAATTTACTCTGATATGTATACACCTTTAGTATGATTTCTGGGAATGGATATCTGAGACTTTATTTGGAGCTTTTATTTTGTAACTAATAAATAAAATGATTCACCAATTTGAAAAAGAAACGCAAAATTCGTTGGTCTTTCTCTATTTTTCCTGTAGGCTGCCAGGCATGCTCGAGGAATAATAAATGAATCATGAAAATCTGATTATAGTGGGAAATTGGCTTATTGCAAAGCATGTAAATGCTTTAATCATACTATTATCTTAATCAAATCATTCACAGTTACTGATTCATAATGTGCATGTAAATGTGCTGACAGATGAGGCACAATCTTTTCATCACCTTATGAAGCCTGCACAGGATAGTGGGAGGAAACAAGTTAATCCCTCCATCAAAAGTTGATCAGATATTCTGCCTAAAATATATGAAGGTGTGACTTTCTGATCTGCTCCTGGACCAGTGTTTAACGTCAGCTTCTTCCAGCAGAGGAGTAGCGGCTTGCAGGCTGGTGGCTTATCTTTTGGTGGCTTGATGCTGAAGGGGGGGGAGTGGAGATCTGTGAGCAGCGTAGCTTCATTCCTGCACGCTGACAGGCTGAGCGTTTGCCTCTTTTACTAGGGGCTCTGTGTCCAGTTCTGGGTCACAGTGGCAGGAGTGGGAGCAGGGGGTGGTGTCCGGAACGGGACAGGCGCTGGGCTCCAGCAGAGAGTCTGTAGGTGGTGGAGAGGGGGAGTCAGTCCCTGGGTCGGAGGTGGGGGCTCCTGCGGTGCCACCTTGCTGACCACTGAGGTTCTGGACCTTCTTGTTGAGCTCGTTCCGCTCAACTTTGAGCGCCCGCCGCAGTTTCTCCAGCCGCTGGACTTTACCCTGAAGAGCCTCAAACTCCCGGTCCCGCACAGCTTTCTGTACACACATACACACACATCAAAATATGTGTCTTTATGCTTTTTGCGTAATAGTTACTTGAACTGACACAACTTGAAAAACTACAAACTTAGTATAATATTCCCTGTCACATTCTCATTGTATTTATTAGGCCAATAACATAAAAATAATTAGCACTGACTGAAGTTATTTCATTTGAGTGTGGAGCACACATTCATCAAAAACTGAACAAACACAAAAGTGTAGCTCATACGATTGTGTTAAAATCACCACATAATGTGCTTTTACGGAAGATGAATACAGTGGAAATATCAAAGTGTTTTAACAACAAATGGAAAAGCTTACAGACTTTATTTGGTTATTTGTTCTGGATTGGTTTTAGATTTTTTGGTTTTCAGTGATCAGAGAAAATCTATGAGATTCCCTGATGTTGGTGCCCAATATATACAGTATTTATCTGGCCAGAGTTATTCAGCATCTAGCATTTTTGTGAACGCTACGCACAACAATAATAAATCCAAAAGCTGCTTTACCTCCTCTGCCATCTCCAGAAGAGCCTTGTTGCTGCTCTCCCATCTGGATCGATACATGGCCGTCTCCTTCTCCAGCTTTTTGATCTTTTTAGTCATCTGTGAATCAAAGAAAACAAGACTGTCACATCTTCCTGTCAACAACTCCTCTCTCTCTCTCTCTCTCTCTCTCTCTCTCTCTCCGACACCCTCACAATTGCACTGACACCTCACCTTCTCCATCTCCTGTTTGAAAGTGGTGAAGACTTCGTTGCTCTTGGACAAAGTTGTCTGGAACTCTTCAAACTTCTCTGTGTACAGTGACAGCTGGAAAACAATACAACACATGGTTTGATCATATAAAGACACTTGTTGCACCAAAACAAATGTTGTCAATGTGAAGTCAAGCACAGTTTAACTATAAAAAGTAAGAATAAAGACTTGTGGAAAACCTGCTGTTTGAGGTGAACTTCCTGCTGCTTCATCAGCTCACACATCCTTTGAGATTCCACAGCTTCTTTCAGCAGCTGGGGGGGGTACCAGACACATAATGGTTACATTTGTGTATAACAACAGGAAAAAAAAAACTGTCCTCATGATTATATTCTATTTATGTATTTGAGTGTGTTGATAAAGTGGATCATTACAAAGTCTTTCTCTCTGTCGTGGCGGTCCTCCGACTCCTTCAGCAGCTCCTGAGCCTGGTGCAGCTTGGCGTCCACCAGCTGTTGCTGCAGGTCTTTGTGCTTCACCACTTTGTCTATGTGCTGGAGAGGGTTACACAAGGGCAGAGGGATAAAAATGCCTGCTAAACTAACTGTATCAATGGGGTGAATTGACATGATTGTGTTTATAAGACATTAAACTGGCAGCTTGAAATGAAAGAGAACTCACATACTGCACCTAAACACGCAGATGTGGAGAAAAAGGGAAACTGGCCACTCACCTCTTCCCGTAATTTGTACTGCTCATAAAGTTTCTTCAGTTTCTCAGCCAGCTCGGTGTTCTCCTGCCGGAGGCTGGCATTTCTTTCATTGTGCTGCTCCATCTGAGTCTGGATGTCATTCAGCGTCACCTGGAAATGAGAGGTCACCTCCTTCCTTTTCTCCTCCTCTAGACGCGTTCTTTGCATCCCTTCTTCCTGCAGAGGGGAAGAAGTGGAACATGACAAATATAATTTGTGTGAAAGGAACATTCATGCTGTGTTACCTGCTTCCCCCTCAGAAAGCTGCCTTACCTCAAAATCATAATCTGAGGACAGAAATTCTGATAAGAAAGATGCAGCAGGCATTTCACTCTTGTAATAGATGTCCAACAACTACAGTTTGTAAAACATTTGTCTGACAAGTCAATTACTTCAAAAACATTGTATGTTATAGCTAATCCTTACTTAAATTAGAGACCGACCCAAGACCACTTTCAAATAAACTGATCAATACACAGAAACTCGAGTATAGAGACACTATTGTTGCAGGAAGTATTTTATCAAATCACTGCAACAGTTAAAAGTCTATATTCACTATGACTGGTGTCTGTTGTGTACCTTGAGTGTGCGGTTGTGTCTCTGCAGCTCCCTGCAGAGGCTCTCCAGCTTGCTGCGAGCCAGGATGGCCTTGCTGTGCTCGTTCCTCAGGTTGTCTTTCTCCTGCACCAGCTGGCTCTGCTTCTTCTGCAGCACTCTCATCTGCTTCTGGGTGTTGCGGTGCTCTTCAAGCTGTCACGAACAAATGCAAGATTAGACATATATTGGCTTTTGTTGAATACTGAAATATCTTCCAACCATAGTTTCCTTTAATATTATGCTGTTTGTTGATTAAATGCATGTTTTAAAGTTAAAATGTATTGAGCTGTTTTTTAAGCTCATCAATTCATTTTTTTTGCTGCTTTGTTTCTCATTGAAAGTCACACACATTCAAACAGATGATCTGTCTTGCAAACCTATATGCACAAGCAAAATCAATATAAAAACTTCCTACAGACACTGTAGAACATAAGTGGTCATCATTAAAACTGCAAAATGCGACACAACACCCTGACACATATTGAGGTCATAGGACAAGGCTCTTCATTGCACCACTCTGTGTCTGACAAAGATCACTGCATCACCTTCAAGTACACTCCCTGTTTGCACCCACACACTACTGTGTGTCCTGACTCACATGATAAGAAGAGCATTTTTTTTCCTATTTTTCTATTTTAAGTCAGCACAAACACAAATGTATATACATACAGTTTAATTAAGTCCTTTATTTTAGGATAAAGTTTGGAATGTTTACAAATAAAGAATGTTCCTTTTTAAATAAACAGCACGTGGTCATTTCTATCAGGCAGCTGAACCAGGCACTTTGTTATTGCTACTTTTTTCTCCTTAATTTGATTTGAGGGTTGTCTACATAGTTGTTTTGGAATATGGAGCTGTTCAACTCCACATTCTCTGATCTGACTGACTAAACCCATATTTCATCTGTGACATCTGGTGGTTTACTGACTAGCAGATGAGTTGTTGAAAGTAGAAAACCAAAGTAATGTCTTCAAGTAATTATTATACGTAAAATAAGTGTCTAAAATACTAATTTCGATAAAAAAAATAAAAACAGATTCCTCTTGAGTCATTCTTAATTAAATTTGTATGGACTGGATCTAACTTTTACACACTGAAGAAAATTATGCATTTGCACACTAACAATGTTTTAAGTCCATTTAAAAAAGATTAAGGTGAAGTGTAGTGCCACCAACAAGATTTAAGAATTAATCACATTTTCAGGAACCACTCACCAGTTCAGCATACTTCTTACAGAGGCCTGCAAGCTTTTCCTCTGGTGTGCTCAGTGTGTTCAAAGTCTGCATGAGGAGGGTGATCTCCTTACCTACACAGAGAAGAAAAACAGATATGACTGAATCAGGGAACCAGCTAGATGACAGAATAGTGTTAAGTTCCTTTGGCAAACTACCCTGTTTATAGGATACCATACTTTTAAGATGATAGTTTTTGTATCTGTGATAGTCTAATAGTATCACAAATCCATTAAAATATACAGAGTGTCTCTACAAAAAGCAGTTCCTCTCTTGGGGGCAGCACAAAAGATATTAAGTCTCTCTCCAGAGCTCTTTATGGAAACTGTGAGCTGCTCCTTACCCAGACCCTTCACTTTCTTCTTCTCCTGAGTCTTCTTCTGCTCCTTCTCCACCCCAATGTCACCTCCATTGACTTTGCCCTTCTCTGACTTGCTGTCTTCCTTCTCATTGGTCAGACCATTGAGCTCCAGGCTGTGTGACTGGCCATTGGGCAGGGCGCTGGCATCGTCTGAGATGCTTTCCCGGCAGTAGGTGCTGAGGATGTCCTCTAACTGACGACTCAGCTCCTCAGCCATGTCACACTTAGACAGTGCTGCTGTTGCAACTAGACACAATGGAAGGAAAAACCATGATTCAAAAAGAAGGCAAATGTTTATCTACCTTTCTAGAGAAAGATAGGAACCTATTTGATACACCCGGTGGTCAATAAGACATGTTGTAATTACTGTTAGAACCTTTAAAGTTTGTATAAGCATCTACAACTGGGTACATATGGCTGGTAATAAGCGCCATATTAAAATTAAAAATGGGATTTGGTGTGCAGTTTTATTCAACATGTAATTGTGCAAGACACAGGGACCCTGATGTAGATTATCAGAAGGAGTCATATTACAAAATATCCTTTATAAAATTACAAATTAACCTATCCTTTCAGGATTTGACAACCACAGTGACAGACAGCAAAATCCAATCCTACTGACCATGTTGTAAATTCTCATGTAAAAAAAGACAGTGAGACAGTCATGTCAACAACATACAATTTACATTGAAAATAATCACAAGTTTACCTTCACTTACAGCCTCTTCCCCTTGCGGAGGTGTGTCTGTCTGTGGGGTCTGTGGTTCAGACTCTTTGGGGCTGTTGCTGTCAGAGCTGTCTTTTGCAGCTGGAGGCGACTCAGTCCCTTCTGCTGTAAGTGGAGAGTCCTCACTGCCTTGGGTGGCAGACTCATCAGTGTCTTGCTTTTTCATCTGCATGGCAAGTAAAAAGGGCAAGGATATCTAGTTTCAATTTTTAAACAACATGTAGTGTGACTTGTTGATATTTAAACCGACTGTTTCGGTGCTTTTGGAAATCCCTCCCAATGACGCAGTGAAAAATGAATCACCATAAACATGCTTTTCTTTCCTGGGTCCAATACCGGCTCAGCTCTGAGGTTACAGTCTCACGTAAAAAAACAAACAAATGAAGCACCAAGTTGACAATAAATTTAAAGAAATGTGAACCTAATTATGCTAACTGTCGTCCTCCGCGGTACAGGGATGTTTAACGTTGGTATTAGGAGCCACAAACATACTGAAATGTTAAAGATAACCACTGTTTCGTGTTTGGTGAACGCTGAACTGATGCCTGGAAGTTTAATTATGATTCTTCTAATATCTATGTGTATTGGATAATTTGCAGAGAAACTTTCAACTGCCATAATTGAAGCTAACATCAATTCTTTAACAGCCCTCTCTGAGCTGGGTTAGTTAGTTAGTGAACCTACTCGTTACAAATGTACGACATGTACATACCTAAATATTTTAAGCTCAAGCTTGGCATGAGGACTAACAAATTTCATAGAAAATTTCAGCTAGATTTCATATCCAGTCTTGTCCTGTCCTCACTAGCTTTCGTTTTCCCACTTGCTATCGAGCACTCACATTATGTTAGCTAGCACACGCTAACGCTAACTCGCCGCCAGATGCAGCTAAAATAGCTTACACGCCTAGCCGTTAGCCATTGGTAGCTCATGTATACTGGACATTAAAATCTACAAACATAGGTAGACTACACATGTACTTGTCTCTGAAGTATATCTTGCATTCCAAGGTATTAGCGAATTGTTTACCTTCAGACTCCAGGAGGAAATAGCTAATGTGCCTGTGAACTGCAGGTTTCCTCAACGGCGTGAGACTGAAAAAAATGACTTCCGGTCATAACTTTGGATACCTCTTCTTCGTCATACTTTTTAACTGCAGTTTACATCCCAGCTTGATGCTATGCTGCCATCTGCAGGACTAATAGATTAATACATGTGTTTCAATGGAATAAAATGAAAATACAATTTTAATTTAAGAAATTACAGCATAACCTAGAACAAAAACACTCTTTTGGATTAAATAATTAAACAAATACCTTCAAAACTAGATATTAGATCTTTTCCAAGCTATTTTGTATTGATAGCCCCTTCTCAAGCTGTTCAGTCTCTTTTTAGAAAACAACAAAAATCTATTTTAACCACTTGCTGCTGAAATGTATTACATGAGGTTGAAACATCTGGAAAACACATGCCTTTGCAGTTTGCTCTCATAAATTCATGGACAGTGATATGTAAAATAGAAATTGTACTCCAATTAAGTTAAAGCAAATTTGAATTAACAAAATATTCAGTAATGGCCTGATTAAATGTTTGAGCCTTAAATTTATCAATAAGTCCTATAAAATGCAACAGCAGGCATTTCTCATTTCATCATAGTATACAGTATATGGGGCAAATCATTTCACATTAGGTTTATTTATTTCACATTTACTTTTTTTAAAGTCAAATTAACATTTATATATATCCATCTCCACTGAGTGAGGATGATTTCTCCCTGAGGTAAAGACACTGATTGGCTTGTAGGCTAAATGCAGTATATACACACACAAAAATCAGAAATATAAGAAAAATGAGCATTAAAGAGTTGCAACATAACTTTATTTGTTTTGTACAGTATTTCCACTGAACAATCTTAAATTCAATATATTTTCTTTACATTTTTAATATTGTTGCCGTTTCCTGTATGTATTTCTTTTTTTCATGTTCATGTTTGTGTGTCATGTTCAGCTGAAGTGTATTAGTTTCTCGTCACTCATTCATACCGTCGGTTAAGTCAAGTCAAGTCACAGTTTAAGATGGGTAATTTTGAGCAAATGAAAAATCATCAACAGGAAAAGAGAAAATAAATACATGTAAAAGAAATGAGAGGACCAGAGTCGAGAATATGTCAGGACTGGTCAGTGATGGCATATGAAAAGTACTTTACAAACATGTAGCATTGTAAACATTTGTAGCGTAGACAACATTACTTGACCAAGCCAAGCATGGCTTTAGATTTTGATATAGACATTAACAGCTTCTAGGACGGAAGACAAGTCAGATTTGATATATTTAGTGATGTCTCTTCAATCCCCCAGACAACAAGGTTCCTGATCATGCAGCCTGACTAAGACAAACTTTTACTCTAAACACAATTATCCAAAAATATAGCCCAGAATATCCTGATCAAGAAAAAGATCAAGAAAAGCAGAAAAGGCTTTTATCCTCACCTCCTATTTTATTTTTTTTCCTGTGACATGTTCTAATGAGACTTTTTCTCCACTTCTCAGAAGTGATTAGAATTGCATCTGAATCCCTGTGAATGTATCAGAACATACATATAGTTTAACTTATAATACTTTTTAATGTAAATCACTGCACAATTTCTGAATCCCAGATTTTTTATCTTAGAAAAGTGTCAAGTAGTTGCCTCTTTTAGCTCCACCCAGTGGAAGGAGTGTCACCTTTGAGAGCAGTTTGTAGGTGGATCTTTGCTTCCAGGGTGCCTGATTTTTGGACAGTATTTATTGCAGTCTTCTGGATTATTTTGCAAATCTACCTCCCTAAACAGTACATAAACTCAAGAGAAAAGAAAACTGAGATAAGAGGGACTGAGCTCATGCAGCTTCTAATGAAAAGAAGCAAGTTTTAAATGGCCTGAAGCAATCTCTCAGTCATACTGACTGGGTCAACACAAGCCAATTACATCAACTATTGAAAACAAAACATCAAGAAAATAATTTAAACCAGCCTTCAGGATGACAAAACTTTGGTAAACTAAGTATGACAATAAAAGGTTAGTACCTGCAATTGTCCGCTATGATAGTCGCTTCAGTTTCCACAATTTGCATCATGTGCCACATTTAAGTACTACAATATTTTTTGTCGGCGCAGAGTTTCTTTTTGAACAAAGAGGGACTGGCTGCAGGCCGTGACCTCAAGGAAATGCTAAATATTATACTCCACTGTATCCACCACATGAAATCAATTCATTAATTAATTCCAAAAACATTTGCAGCTTAGCTATGCACAGTGAAAACCATTAGAAGACTGTAAGAGTGGGGACCATCACACCAACGGACAACAAGTCGCTGGAGAGACCAGTTTTATGCAGTAAATCGAGTCCTTTCCCGCCCCAGACAATTACATTTCCTTAATTCCTTATTTAGGTGCCCACAGTAAAGAATGCCACTTTTCCAAAGAAATAATGGCTAATAATGTAACTTTAAAGATAAGGAAAATAGAGCAGCAATGTTTTGCACAAAATGTGTGCACATTCAAGTAAATAAAAGATATAAAGGAAAAACAAAATCGATAAGTCAAAGACAGATACATAAGAACCTCCAGTCTTTGTTGGTCGGGTTGGCACTTTTGTGAATAGGAGTGCATTTTCATTTTTCAGAAATATAATATATATAATATTTTTCCTGGTTGATGCACTGATTTTTTTTTTTTTTTTAAACATTGCAATTCTGGCATTATTTGTAGGCCAAGCACAGAATCGGCCGTGAAATCGAAGACTTCAGTTATAAATGCTGCTCTACACATCTGTCATTTAGAGATAAGTTCTTGATGCTCAATTATACATGATTTGACCTCTTATGTCTACTGGGAGCACACATGTTCTGTGGACAACATTTGAACTCATGAAGCCAAAACAGACAGCCTCTCTAACATATAGTCGTCTGTCAATGAATGCTTGAACCGTTGTGTGTAATAGTGGCATCTTACACTAAGATATTTTGCATTGACATAGGAAATTGAAGGCAAATGCAAAAATGCAATACTGGAACAAACCAAATGGAGAAGATAAGCCTTTGCATCCAAAAAGATAAAAGTTATGTTCTCGATTTTACGCAATATTCAACAGACTACAGCATTTCTATTTTGGTTAACAGAACCATAATTTTGCACACAGCTCCATAATTAAATGTTAGGGCTGCTGCTGTGATCCACAGAACAGGGGCTCCCAGACTCTGATGGGTTACATAGTCATAGAGTCAATCAACCTCTTCCTCACACAGTGCCTGTCAGTCAAACATCACACGACCACTGCTCCATCCACAAAGCCTGAACTCTGAACCAAGATCAGCTTCTGTCAGAGGCAGCGCTGATCTGAGGTCAGGGTTTACAGGACTAATTCAATCCATCATAAGTCATGTGGCTAGAAACAGCAAAAAAGTTTCCATAAGATCTACGTGTGCAACGAATTCAAGAAACCCTTCTTTTCATTGTCTCAATTAAAACTGACACCAACCTAAATTAAAAAAAGGAGCCAATGTTTTTAAAAATAAGGAAAATATACTAAGTGCTCTGAAACAGAAAAAAAAGAAAAACAAACAAAGCCAAAATGGCTTTTTTCACATTTTTAAAGTTAAACTTCAAAATAAAATGACTATGGAAACTATTTTACTTGCTACTAGCCACTCATCTGTGTGAGGTGTGTGTACAGTGTCTGCTGGTGTTGTATGCAAGTGTACATGAAGTGTGCGCAAATATATATATATATATAATGCTAATACATCAAAATTCAAATATATATTTATACTTGAATTTTTTGTTGCAGTTAGGCTTGTCACTTTTCTCGGATATATCCCTAGCCAAACTCTGGTTGTTGTTACACCCATGAGGGGACGAAGAAGCGGCACAGACTTTCCTAGCCAGGCAGAGGATAGGCTATTTACATCAATACCTGTACATATCACAATGGACCCATGCAAAATCATTATCAGTTGTCATTCCCATTCCTCATAAATATAGTGATATAGAATGCCATAGGGTTATATATCAACTCTACCGCTATACAAAACACCACCACCGTCACTACACTATCACTGTTAACACCACCAAACCAATTAGTTATGGCCTAGTTCCTGCTTTTTAACTCCAAATGCTGCCAACAAGGAACGACGAGCAGCATACAGCAATGTCTCACAGTGTTTGTTCACACTGTTCTCCATCTCTCTGCGCCAACCGTCTGTGTTTGGCCAGGGATACTCAGTGACTGTAGGCAGGGTAATATAACACCATGCAAAAACCCTACCACATACCACTGGGTAGGGGGGGGGAGCACGGGGCCTAGCGAACGAGCAGCAACCCATTTCCACTGGGCTTCAGTGGAATCAGAAAGTCGAAACTAAAATCATATCGTATTATGCCGTCTCCATGACGCGTCTGTCACTCTGATTCAAACATCTGCAATCCCTTCAATTTATTTAAATATAAAAATAAGTTTGGTTTGCTGCTGTTGGCCCCCCCCCCCCAACACCCCAGCTATGCCTTGTTTAATAGTTAAATCACTTCATAATTCAAATGTATTGTTATTAATAACACAGCACACGACGAACATTGGATCTCTAACTATACCACCCTCGAAACCTGGATTTTTTTTTCTTTTTTTTCTTTTTAGATCTTTTAACACATCATCTAAAAAAAAACCCAATCCCATTTCCAGTATCCCATCCAGAGCCCTTCCTATGGTTAGATAATTCTGTTTTCTTAAGTTTTTCACATCTTCCCACCTGGAACCCCCCCCCCCCTTGAAATTTGTCCCACTTAAAAAAAACATATTGATAGATGGGGGGGGTGGGGACAAAAACTAAAACCTAAAAAAAAAAAAAGAAAAAGGAACACACTTCTTAGTTTGGGCATCAGACTCAGGGCAGTGGACAGCCCTTGACTTTTGTTGGACATTTGTGTCTCTGAACTCCCCCATAAAAGATAGGAATCTTTTTCCCCATGAGCAGATATGCAGAGACCAGCCCTAAGCCTAATGATCAGACAGTTTCTTGGTAGCAAACCACTTGCTTTCCATTAAAGAAAGAAAAGAACAAAAAAAAAAGTAAAAAGAAAAAAAGTCCCCAGCACTAATAAGAAGATAAATAAGACTGGGGGAAAAAGAACTTATCATATAACTACAAAGGGATAATGTTACACGTATTTTCTTTTTTTTTCTTTTCTTTTTTTGAATTGCACTAAGTCAAACTGACATCAATAGCTGGGCATATTTCACCTCATGCACCCCTGCAGTCTGTAGACTTTGCATGAGGATGCATGGGTAGTCCTGAAAATAGGAATGTCCCATTGGGGGGGGGGAAGTGTATATAAAGATATCAACCAACAAGCCACCGTTACTGCCAATGAGAGAATCTAAGAACTGTCACATGGCAGGAAGATGGATGTGTGTGCATTTTAAGCCAGGGCAGACTCACACTTTGGGCTGTGAGGTGATCACTTCCTCTTCTAAGTGTAATAATGGAGTTTGTGCTGTGCTTCCTTACTGATCAGGAAACACATGAGTCTACCCTGTGAGAAGTCGGCCCACTGCTTGAGGAGTATGAAGCGAAGGGGGCATTTCTTTTAGGCTGGAGAGCAGGACAGTTTTTGTTTTCCTCCAAGGGGCAAAGTTGTGTGTGTGTTTGTGGTGATAGTAGTGGTGGGGGGTAGAGGGTGGGGTGGGGGCTTGGAGGTACTACTCAGGTATCTATGGGCCCTCCATGAGATAGAGAGATATGGTGGGGGTAAATGGTGTATTTTAGAGAAGAGGGGTGCTGATTTATAGCTGGAAGCCCTCCATGGGGGCCTCCTGCTGGGGGAAAAGGAACTGCTGGTTGGCCTGGTCCACCTGAGGGGCTAGACTGGTGTCTTCGTCCTCCACTCCGAAGTAGTGCTCAATTAGGTCAAAGGCCTTCTGGTAGATCTCCTGGTTGTCGTGGCTCTGAAGGAACTCGATCTTGTCCAAACCTGGGAAATCAAATAATGTTAATCGTTAAATCAACGTATGTTTGCAAAGTTATCTGCCAAAGAAATGTGACTTTTATTCTAGAAGCAAAAAATAATCAGCTCAAGACCAATCACTGTTGTCTTAGGTCTGTGCAACCAATGAAAAAGGGGATAAAAGATTTTTAATCATCTCAATATAGCATTGTCTTGGTGCTCATGCTGAAGCTCAAATTCACTGATTAAAAAAAAAATTGAAGTTACATCTGGGCCTGTTACTGCTACCTGTTAATGTCCAATAAGTAAGTAATTCTAAAGATGACATTGCTTTAACAAAAATACCACTACTACACATTTGTCAGTGGTGACGCAGTACTCTAGGCAGTGTTAACTTCATCAATACAAAAAATACTAGACTAAAATAAATAAATACCAAATAATTTGAAAGATGGATGAATGGACAAATGAACAGCTTAATATATGCATGGGTGGCATTGCACTGTAATCTCTAGCTCATGATTACAACAACAGCACTGGTAACTGGCATTTATAAAAAGGTAAGCTTACATATCATTATCAGCTGCTGTGGACGTGGATATATATGGTTAAAGTTGTTTTCAGTCAGCTTCAGTCTCTCACTATCTTTTGTTTTAAGAAAGTACAGAAGTAACATCAGCAATCAACCATTACAACCTTACTCTAAATCTTTACTACTGAAATATCACTTAGCTTCTCCTCTCAAGCTAAACCCGGACAGTGAACAGTACTGTAGCCCACCCAGCTCCTGAATGAATCACTGCTAATGCTAAAGCTAATGCTAGGTCACCAAGAACGAACATCCAGAGTTTGGAAATGAAAACCAGATTCACTGAGGAGATTCAGTGCATTGTATTAGTTCAGAGCGGAGTCACATGGACACTGAACAAGTAGACAATGTTCTAACCTCACAATAGACAAGAACGACACCTGAAACTATGCTAACTGTACACAATAAAGATGGTGACAGCTGTTGCCTCATAGTATTAAGAACACAATTCACCACTAAAATCCCCCAGATGAAAACTAGACTAAAATGTCTTTGGTTTTTGTTGACCTAACAAAAATCACAAAAATTGAATTTAACCCCGTTTCTGAATGGGATTCCACTTGAGAATAAATGACTTGTGTTTTTATCATGTGTGTGTTTGGTTTCAATACAGGTTTAAAGTATCATATGATAATCTTAGTGCTGTCTGAAAAAACTGAATATAGTGTGTGTACACCACAATTCTGTCATCAGCGGCTTCATTTCCAATAACTTTGTAGTATGTACAGTTTATCAGAGCCATATCATATGAATTTCCAGTATGCGTGTGTTTGCATGCGTTTCCTGTACTGTACCATAGGCTTCCTCGATGAGGCTGCAGTAAGGGTTGACTCCAGTGCCGTTGTTCTCCTGCTTGGCCTCCTGCTCCCCGAGCCTCAGGATGTTCTCCAGCCCGTTGAGAGCGACCTGAACGATCTTCGAGTCCATCACCGTCAGCAGATCACACAGTGGCTTAATGCAGCCCAGGTTCACCAGATATCTATATGCGAACAGACACACAAACAACACAGGTGTTTGAAGACTAAGTGACTAAAGATTTCTCATGTTTCAAGGTCACAACTCAATTTAAAATATAGTGTTCTTCATAATGACCTGATTATGCTACACATTTAATTACTTGTATCAAAAATATTTTCTTTAATTCATCTAATTATTATCACCTATATTTTCAGCACCATGGCAACTCCTTGTGCATAAAATTGTCTTATTTTAATCACTTTATTTCTCCATGGGGATCTTCATTTCAAGTCAGTCTTCATTTAATATGCTAATTTCTTAACAATTAGAGCATCACCTCATATTTTTACTCATTATTTCCAACCAGCCAAAATGTGTTTTTATTTTTTGGGTGAATGATTTGTGCCAATTTAGGAACAGATGTTACAGAAGCTTTAGCATTAAACATTGATCCAACAGATGTGGTACTGACATGATTCATTTACTCAAGGAAAGACATAATAAACTGGAGGCAATCTTGTCCAAATCGATCTTGTAATTTGCTGAGGGGATACTAGGGGATAATATGGGATAGTATTTTATTTAGTGCAAGTCTGACCTGATCTGCTCCGGTGTTCCTCCGGAGGTGGCGTTGGTGATGGCCCAGGCCGCCTCTTTCCTGGTCCTGAACTCGGCTTTCTGTAGAATGTCGATCAGCACTGGGAAGATGTTGGCATCAATTACCGTCTGTGGGTGAGAAAAAGATATGAAGTGTATCATGAAATATTGCTTTATTGTGATCGAGCTTCACAGAGGCAAACCTTGGGAGCACCTGTTGGGGCCATGATAGATGGAGCCATCAGCCTTTATGTACTGTGTCTCAAACACCAATATCAAATAGAACATGATCTACGTCTTTACAGATAAATGTTCGGTATATGGCAAAATAACAAAACTGACTGAACTGGAACCATGATGTTTAATCCAGTCTGTCTATTTTTCATACATATAACCACATACATAAATTAACCAATTGTGTTGCATACAAAAAAATGACCAGAAAGAAGCTTTTGTTTCATGTACAACAAAATTGTTTGCTTTTTTCCCCTAAATATCAGATTGGGCCCCAGTATCGGGAAGTGTGATCAGGATATCCCAACCAACCCAAGCAAATTTACTCACTTCTCATGGGTAAATTTGGGTTTTCTGCCGGTGGTACTCATTTCATTTCTAAGCTTTGTGGTATGTGTCACCTGTATCTGGGCTCTGTTTCCTGCTGTGATGTTCGAGATGGTCCAGCAAGCCTCTTTGCGAATCGATTCTTTAGCGCTGCTGAGAAGGTGCAGCAGACAGGGCAGGGCTGAGCAGTTCAACACCACCTATACACAGCAACACAGAGGGTAAAAAAAAAACATACAAGCAGTTTATAAAACTGGCTCTCTCAGATGTTTAATAGTTTTTGTCTTAGTAAGTTGTGGGCAGACGGGCATGAAGGAAACTTAAATTTAATATACCCTCACCTGTGTTTGGATATCATCTCCAGTGACAATGTTTCCTACAGCTCTCAAGGCAGGGGAGGCCACCTTATAGTCAGTGTGCCTGCACAAAGGGAGGGTTAATAGAGAGAGAATTTTAAGAATTTACAGGCCATATTTACTGTGACAAAGATACCAGAGAGCATAGCGGGACTTACATGAGTAGTTCTACAAGGCGCCTGCAGACGCCAGAGTCAATGACAGCCTGGATCTTGTCATTGGGGCCGTCTGAGAGGTAGGAAAGGGCCCAGCAGGCATCTGCCAGCAAGTCTGGGTCACTGCTAAATAAAAGTCTGGACAGCACTGGCAGACAGGGTGACACCTAGACAGAACAAACATAATGCTTATTTATTTTCAGAAACAACATGCACTCTACAACGCGAATAAGTCACACAGAAAAATCAAGTCAAGGCTTCGTAGCAGACTGGCAGTTGAGGGGAAAAGCAGATTGGCTCGATAACATTTAATTTTGTCAAGGTCACCAAAATATGAACAGGGAGCAACAGGTTTTTCAACATGATACTTATGATTTAGATGATTATTACATTCACACATGCATCAATTATTACTCATTATGTTAAGTGAAAAGATTCAACACAAGTTTCAAACACTTCTGTAAACTGAAGACTGGAATTCAGACAAAAAAATCCTTGTAAATACTGTTTCAGATACTCACAGTGCTGGGTATGAGAGTGTAGAGGTATTTAAAAATACAGTATATGGGCCTGTATAGTTATTTAAAAACGATCATTCTTACTGCAGTTGTGACCTGGGATAAATCAGATCTGTTGGTCTGAATGGATAAATACAGTTTTAATAACCTGACTGGCTGTGTGATATCAGAGGTAAATAGCAGTGCCGTCTGGCTCTGAGGTTTACGGCGGCTGAATTTCCAGTTGACATAGACGATTTTAACAGAGTGTATGCGTTTGAGTTACTTTTTCATTTAGGAGGAAGAAAAGCAATCCTCTGGAGTTCCAATACTTTTCCTGCACCGTCTGCAACAGTCACTCTCCAGTGTAAATATTGTCACAATGACTCAGCTGAGAGTTGATAACATATAGAAGCAGATGCATTTTTTGTATGGTTTCACAATGGTAACTATCAAACTTCAGTTGTAGTTAAGTCATGATAAATTGTCACAATGTGTTTGGTGTTAATGTCATCAGGCGAAGTGCTACCTTTTCAAAAGCAGGTGGAGGATTTTTTCCTCTGCAGAGATTAGACAGGGCCCAGACTGCATTCCTAGTCATGGTCAATCTAGTGGATTTGGTCAGAAGCCTGAAATTACAAAGAACAGCAAGCATATATTATAGGTTGTAAAGCTCGAGGCTTGAATAAGTAATGTCTCTAAACAGGAAAAGAAAAGAAAGAACTCACATTAATAGTGGTGGAAGGATGTTGCAATTTAGCACATAATCCCTGCAAACTGCACTATCCCCTGCAATATTACCTAAGGCCCACACAGCCTGCAGAAAAAAAAAACAAAAAAAAAACATGGTGGATATACGAGTATGGAACAATGCAAGACAAAACACATGAGGCACAATATAATATAAAATATCATGCCAGTCCCACTGTGCGTTACCTGTTCTTGGACATCCTCAAAATCCGAGTTAAGTAATTCTATGAAGATTGGCACGGCTCCTGCCTCAATCACCGTCTTTGTCTGTATGGATGTGCCTGATGCTATGTTGGTCAGTGCCCAAGCAGCTTCAAACTGCAATGGCACAGAATGTCATTAAGATAAGCAGCATTTAAAACTTTTTTTTTTTTTTTTTTTAACCACAGATAAGAGTTTACCCCTGAGTGCCTTGTGCAGAGTGGCAGAAGATAATGTGTATGGTGGCCTCCATTCAGCAAAATCTAACATAGGATGCTGTGTATAACATAATGGAATGCATTTGATATTGGGTGGTACAAGGGTGCTGCCCTTGTTTGAGAAGGGCAACACCCTGCAAAGAAGGTGACACTCCCTGTTTTATCAGTGTGAGTGAGACACAAAGTTTACCAAAATTTCTCACTTCACATCTATTCAGTTTGGTATGAACACATCCCACACACAGAAGATGTTCTGACTGTGCGAGTGAGTGTTTTAACAAACTGACCTGTAGTGTGCAGTTGACACTCTTCTTCAGGAACTCAACAAACCTCTCCACTACTCCAGGTGTGTTTATAACTTCATCAATAGGTGGGTTGGGCTCTGAAATGAACAAATATAAAACTGGATGTGAGCATTTTGGTTTGGTTTTGGTCCAGTGTATTAGTGGCTGTTACCACAGTGATATAAAGCCCCTGTAAGTGCACAGTCTTTACCTTTGGAAAGTAGTTTTCTGAACTTTTGTGTTGTGGCGAGCTGAAGCTCCGGGTCCTCTGAGAAAAGCATCTCAACCATGTCTCTGGTAATGACTCCTTCCTACAACAACAACAACACACACACACGCGCTAAACACTTGATCCACTCAGCACAGACTCTGCAATTCTAAAGAGGCTAGAAAACAATAAATAACAAACTGAAATACAATGTAAAATAAACCTCTGGTGGGTCCTGCATGGGTCTCTCTTTGTCTAGGGTGTGAGAGACTCAGAGTGGTATTAGGACAATAGATACTCACTGTTACTGGAGAGCTAAGGTAGGAGTCCACTAGTGGGCTCTCAAACATAGCTTCCTCTTCATTGAGAATGTCCACATTCCTCCTCTTGAAAAGCTACGATTACAAAAAAATTGTCAGAGCCCACAAAGAGTCAAGTTGTCTCTTTTCAAGTACATAAACTACATACTGATGTAATCTCAAACAGTTAAAGAACAGGTCTGGTGTAATACCTGTTGTTCTCGTTTCTGTTTCCTGAGTTGGATGCCCTCCTCCTCTCTCCTGCGTCTCATCTCTTCTGGGTTCAGTGCTTTGTTCTTGTAGCGGTTCATCCTGTAGTTATCCTTGGCCGGACTGGCTGACGGCTCTGATGGGCCACAGACACAGGTAAACATCATGATTAAGACACAATGAGGAAACAAAGTTGTGCAGAATTTGCACCATCTAAATTGAAGTTAACGAGAACACCATGTGTTAAGAAAGAGTAAGTGAGCATCCAAGAAAAGAGTTTGTTTCCACTGACATCTCTAATAATAGGTCATGATGATGAAACTGCCTGTACACAGGTCTATATATAAAAAGGCCTTGTATAAACAACCTCATAGAAACTAGACAACACAGCCTAAAAATACACACATACATGCACGCACGCACGCACACACACACACACACAGCTAAGCTATTCATCAACCAGTCAGCTGGCGGGCAGAACAAACGTATTTATTCAGTAGAGTTAAATCGCAGAGTTAGCATAAACTGGTGCCCACACAGGACAAACTGCCCATTCTCAGCATTTGTGCAGTCATGCCACCAGAACAGGGCACTGGGCAGATCCCTGAGTCACCCGGGGGCTACTGGGGAGAGAAAGAGGTGGGAACAACATTTAAAAACCTGCCACCAGCACAGACTGGTGCCATCCTTCTGTGCCAAAGAGCCCCCAATCGTAATAGCGGGGGTTCCCGGGGGTTAAATATCGGAACAAGTGGCGCAAATTGAGGTCATGTTATGGCTTGAGGGCATCAGCACAACCAGCCTCATAAAAAGCTCATGCATGTGTGTAATGTGTCCAGATGGTAAAGCCACAGGGCGGGGACGGCACACGAGCACAGGTTGCAGCTGGATGCTCTGGTTTCTGTACTGTGTTAGCTAGATTAGATTTGCTGTATGTGAACTGCACTGACTGTTATTTGTGCTGGATGGCACAGAAATAGCCCTGCTGAGAGCACATGTCTACACTGGCATTTCACAGGAGACCCTACCTATAGCAAGGAGTCTCTATAGGAAAGAGAGCAGAAGGTGGGAGGTGTTTAAGAGTTTGTTGACTCAAATCAGGGAAAAAAACCCACTTATGCCTACTGGTATCTAGCCACACTGAAGTTTTATATGCTGGCTACTACAATGGCTGTCGACTAGAAAAACCTTCTGCTGTAGAGTGGTGACAGAAATCTCAAAAGCAGTGCCTGTACAAATGAATCTGAAGTTATATGTGACGGTGTATATGTGATTTTGGTGAGCCATCTGAAGCTTTACTTAAGTCTGAATAAGTTAAGTACAACAGCCTGCTCTGGTGACAGGTCCAGCACCAAGAGTGCCCCTACTCAAGGACATCCAATATTAAAACCCTTATGGAGCCTGCGGGAGGCAGGAACAGGACTCCTGTTACAGTAATAAAACATTATGTCTAGAGACGTGTGGTCCAACTTGACTTCTGCATGTAGAACTTAAATTTGACATATTCAAATTAAGCTGGATGGTGTTTTCACAGTTTGCATACTGACGACCCATTTAATTTGTCTTTTTAGAAATGCTAATCGCCAGTAATGTTGCCGTCACTAACTAATGTCGAAGGGAAAAAACGAGTATAATCCTGTGCGGGAATAGTCTGGAAAACACGGGCAACCCTCATGTCACATGTACGCGCTGGTTTATGAGTGTACTGTCAGACATACGAGTATTATTGCTCACTAATGTTAGCAAGCTGTCAAAAGTGTTTCATGATTTCCTTTAGTATATAATTTACTAGCTCAATGGTTTCCATTTTACTGTCAAAATAATCAAAAATAATAACAAATTTAATATAATTGTATTTACGATATATGGTAATTTTACAGGTTTGGAGAATAAGGCTAAATGACACGGCTAACACAGCTAAGCTAACGTTAGCACTAGCCGCTGCGCGCACACAAATCGCCTAATAATACAATTGTTGAATTGTGTCATCTGAAGTGAAGAATTAAATATCTGTCTTAGTTGTTAAATGTTTCTTTCCAATAAACAGCTTCGTTGCGTTAGAAATCTCCACTAAACAGCACTAGCGTAAGATTTGCACCACAACATTTTGCTAATGTTACCGCTATCAGCACCTGCGTTGTAAAGGACTGGAGCCAGAGTGACTGGCGATTTATATCGTTGCGGTTGCCGAGAAGCAAACCAATATGTTGACATCACTGACTATAACTTTAAATCGAAGCTATAAGGGTGTCTCCCCACCTATCTAATTACGAGTAGATGGCATATCGCCGTGCTAACGTAGCTATTAGCCAAGTTTCCTAAGTTGGTTAATAAATGGTACTGGTTGTTTTCTCGGGTTTAAATAATGGTAGTACATCTTGTATGACAAATGATTACACATTCAACACTGTCCTAAGATTATACTGTTCGGTGACAGTTTGATATACACCGAGTGAACTGGCAAAAAATAGCAACTCGTGTTGCGCTACTACGTAGCAACGAGCTACCTAGCTAATGAGTTAGCTAACTAGCTAAACAACAGTGAAGGGATGAGGATTTCATAATCATTACCCCCGACGACACAGCTAAATCTTTTAACAACCCAAGGTATATCTGTACTCCTGAGTGGTCGAACGGCTTACCCATTGTTTCCTACGTGTTGTGAGTGTGTCAAGTCGCGATGATATAAATCAATTTTCGGTCCTTTTCCTCTTCTAGCTTTCCAGAATCTGCTCCTGTAAGCAATATGTCTGCCGGAGACGGAAACGTCAAAATATAATGGCGACTTCCTGCCACCAGAGGACGCACCAGCCTCACAAATAATTTTACTCACATTTACCCACCTTCACTAATGGGTGCAATACATAACCCAAACAATAACTATATACATTAGGACTGGGTTTGTTTAATTCTCAGCTGGAAACATTGTTTAAATTGCAAGCTAATTTAATCATCATTCAAGTACCAGACCAGTTATTATGGGGAGTACAAGAGGACACATGATTTTACAATACAGTGTTCTTACAAAGTCATTGTTTCTCACCCTTCGCTCCATTCTGCACACCCTCCAGCATTGTTCAGGCACCTCTCCGTCTTGGATCTGCATGGCTCCCTCAGGTTTTGAGATGCCGTGTGTGTGAACAGCCAAGGATCCCCAGTGTTTTTCTCAAATTGAATGTGACAGAGTAATACAGGTGAGGTGCATCTGTGGTCAATTTGCCGGGAGCAGGTAGTGGAAAATTACTGCACTATATTGTGATGCAGCATTGTCCTCTGACATGGACCTCAGTGGGAGCCTGGGGAGATAGACCAGAAAAAAACTTTAGGGGGCAATGTTGTACAAATAAAATAGAAATAATGGGGCATTCGCTGCTGTCAGACTGGCTCTTTCCCCCTGTTAGAGAGAGCGTGGGAGGTCAAGTCAACTGTAGCATGGCTGAGATACTTTCCCATGATTACAATTTCTGAGCAGACAAGAATAAATATTGTTCATAGATTCATGCACTCACAGAGTAGCCACGGGCTTACAGGGCTGAGCTTCACTCAGCCGAGCCACAAGGGCTGAGAATTCACAGCCTTCAGCAGGTGTGCTGGTGCAGAGATAAATCAGAGGACACTGCTCGCTGGATAGTAGTTCTCCACCGGTATCAAATAACACAAACACGCGGCGCCAATCTGTGCTACGGAGGCAGCATTCAAATGCTCTCAGATCCAGTCCGAAGGGCTGTAGCTGGGACTCATCGTGTCTGATTTCACAGGGCCTCCTTTGTGAGTTCTTATACCTTTCTCATTTCTAAGCCTGCTGAAGCACATCATCCAGCAGCCTACACTTTGCAGAGCAGCAAAGGCTATCCATTAGTCAATGCCATACAGTAAAGACTGCCTCTGTAATGGAATCATAAGAGCAAAGCAAGGCGTATAACCGAAGGGGTTTTAAACTGATGTTCACCGGGGAAGGGTCACTTCTGCTGTAAGTCTCCCACTCTCCACCGGCTATGAATTTAGATATAACGAACCCTGCAATCAATGCCCTGTTTTTCCCATCCAAATTCAAATTCCAGTGAATTAAAGAGAGAAAAGGATTCAAATTAACAAACAGGAAGACCCATACTGTCGACCTCATTAGTGGCCATTGCCCATCCAGGCTGAGTCAGCAATATTGAGAAACCACACTGCACTTCCTACAAGCAAATTAACAATACAGCTGCTACAGCACGATGAGGGCAAACAACTAGATGTTGATTAAGTGCAATTTCATCAAGATGAGGTTTTTAGTTGTGTCTGAAAACAAGATGCAGCATTTGTGAATTGTACTTGGTCCACAGGGGCTGTTTTTGTGACCAGATTTTGAAGCAGTTAAGAGAACTCCATCTACAGATCTACACATCTCTGTGTGCTGAATGCTTTTTTCTTTTTTTTTTTTAGATCATTTTCATTTGTAGGGAGATTGTAGTTTATCCAGCAAAGAGGCTTCATAGGCAAATGTCTGCCCTGTTTTGCATCATCTCCATGGCAGGCTATTCATGATGAAACATCAAGCAGGATTCAGCTCTCTGCAGGTAGACAACACAACAAGAGAAAAAGTCCTTTGCACATTTAGATAAAAATAACACGCACCACGTAAAGAGGCTAATAGCATCAAGGAGCATGTTTGCAGAGTAAAAACTCAATTATGAAGCGTCAAAACCATTTTAGTTTTGATTGCGCTTATTTGATTGCACAAATATACCCAGTTTAAACTGATCCTTAATTCAATTACACCCAATATGATAATAAGGCTAGTCTGCTGAAATGTGAGAATGTGGTTGGGCTGCCTGTGGGAGAGAGAACATCTGCAAGGCTCTGCGCTCAGTGCTTTGTGTGAGAGTAATAAAGGGTGAGAGAGATAACGCCATGGGGAGGATAGTGTGTGGAGAGAGCAGTGTGTCAGTGCATGTGGGGCGTGAATGGAAAAGAGGAGATATGTCTTCATAATATAGTGTTGAAAATCCATTCAGCACTGTCCATTCCTTACTTTTTTATCTGACGACTGGGGCCCCCTCTCTCTCCCGCCGTCTCTCTCTGTCTCCCTCTCACTTTCTGATATCTACCAGGTGGCGGGGCCGATATGTAAGACGCTGAGTAGGTGATTTTAGAATATTCTTGTGGATCATTTGATCATTCCTGGTGTGTGCGAGAGGGAGATTTGTGGGAACCATTTGAATACTAATGTATGATTTTTACCTCGCAGGATAAAAGACTCGGCGAGACAAATGTGTAGCTGTGGAACGAAAGGAGGGGACTAAAAAAAAAAAGAAAGAAAAAAAAAAGACATTGTCATTGAGCAAATATGGCAGCCACTTTTCATTGGAGAGGAGCGGAGCTGTGTAGGATCGCACTTTACATCTAACTGGGATGTCCTGGTCTGATGATCCTTCTTAAACCGCAGTCCAGTCAGACCTCTCCTATATCATATGGCAGTTTGCTGAAGTGGTTACTGCGCTTCAATCAAAGTGCATGAAACACACCTGTCTGACATTGTAATCTGCAGAGACAGCTGCATCTGACAATTTCCAAAATTGGCAATTTGACAAGCAAAGGCAGGAGACAACACAATCTCTATATTTTCATTTGTTCACACAAATTCTTTCATCACTTTTTGTTCCCAGTGCAACAGTATGAAGCCTTTAAGGATAGACTGTCTAAACGTGTAAGCCTAAGACTTTTTGCCCCCAAACTTTGAGTGTGGCCATTTGGAAAACATGTGAACACTTTTGCCTTTTCCCTTTGATCGACACTTTGTACAAACTGAACTCTTTGCTGCACTTGAGTTAAGGGTTGAAGTGAGAGAAAGATCTGGTCAGGATGCTTTTACTTACTTACTACTCCTTTTTTCTACTCATGTTCAAAAGTAAAGTACTTACTTTTTCTCTATGTAACTTTGTGCCTTTTAATTTAAAGCACATTGTATTTGCCCATAATGAAATATGTGAAATAACATTACCATGTCTTAATGCAGAGGTGGAATGTAAATTAAGTACATTTACTCAAGAGTTGTTTACTCAAGTGTTCCCATTTTATAAATTGGAGATATATTGTACTGCTTGAACAGTTATAGAAACCAGTTACTTTACAGATCACAAATTTATATACAAAATCATTTCCTCATCAATTTGTTATAATCTGCCTAAGATTAGCTAAAATTAGCACCATCAACTACAACAGTAAAATGCAATTTACTTCAGTGAAATTAAAGGTAAAAAGTGTTTCTACAGTGTGGTATTGATATTCGTATTGATTGAACTGACCACTACTTCTTTATCTAAATGACTCCTGTGCCCTTGGGAAAATTATCAATGAATCTAGGGACCCAAAGCAGGTACATACATTAGGGATGCAACGATCTGACTTTTCCAATACCTCAACTCAGGGTTGTATGGAGGACAACAAGTGTCATGGAAATTTTTATAAAGCATTTCATTAATTGATAGACAATGACATGGTGTAGCAGTGGGCTGCACTGTTGCCTCACAACAAGAGGTTTCTGGGTTTGTGTCTGCGTGTTCCTCTCGTTTTCGGCGTGGGTTTTCTCCAGGGGCTCCGGTTTCCTCCCATTAACTAGTTCAGGAATTGCAGAGAAAAGATTGGAGACTCTAAATTGCCCGTATATGTGTGAATGTAAACGTCAATGATTGCCTGTCTCTATGTGTCAGCCCTGTGATTGACTGGCGATCTGTCCAGGGTGTAAACTGCCTCTCGCCCCATGTCAGCTGGGCTTGCACAGCTCATAATTTTCACAGTAAAAGCTCTGCGATATCTTGTAAGTACAGTTAGTCACATCATGCCTGCGCTTTAATAGTTTGAAACTTGTGTTCCTCTTCTTTTTCCTACACTTAACGTCTGTAAAGCTCACTGTGTAGAACTCCTTTGGAGTAATTTTTGTGTAAGGTAACATGGGGCCAAGGAAGCTATAGCATTAAAATTGAGTCTGCATCCTGCCGTGACTGAATAAATATAACTCACAGCAGGATCACAGAATTTTGTAATGAAACTGCCAAAGAAACTGTTATGTCCACAGGTCAAATCATAGCTGATAGCCGACACGCATAACAGTATCAGCACCAATACCAATCCATTTTATTGGATTTGTGCACCACTATTACAGACCCCAACCAGGTCTCTTTGGGGACCCATCCTCCTGTGCAGCCCAGTCTTTGTGATATGTATGGTTGCCGGATGCACTCATCAATTGAGACAAATTATCCTGTGAAATGGCACAACAATGTCACAGCACGGGTTGAGGTCGCAGCATGTAATGCAACCGTCTGATGCCAGAGCATGTGAGAGAGAGACATAGACACAGAGAGAGAGAGAGGGGAGGCAGGGGGGGGAGAGAGACGGTCTTGCATCAGAAAACACTTAGGGATGCCAGCAGAGTAGATGAAGCAAAGAGATCAATATGGCACAATTATTTTACACACACTGTAATTGATGAACACGTGGCTGTGGGACGACTTCCTCCCCACTCTCTAAACCTTACAAGCCAATTCCAGCCCAATCAGACTGGCTCAATAAGGCCTATTAACTGAAAGCGCTTTTATTTACCTGCGGTACGGATTGTCACTGGTAATGGAGGGTGTTTGTATCTTTATTTTTGGCCCCTCTATAAGTTACACACACACAGAGCAGAACAGTGCTTTAAAGGCCATGATTATCAAAGGAAGTTCCACCCTGTCTTTTCCTTTTCTATTGACAAC